GTACCCAATACGGTAGGGAAATTGTCATTATGTTGCAGAGGCTTGGTCTGGTACCGGTCGTCGTCAACACCGAAGGAAACCCCAACATCCCCGGCTCGGACGACCCGCCGTACGATGTCATCATCGTCGAGTCTATCGACACCGCTCGTAAGCTAAGGGCTATCGAAGACTTCAAGTATCTCCCCATTGTTTTATTAGCCCCAGTTGTACATGTCAGCTTGAAGTCCTGCCTGGATTTAGGCATCACGTCTTATATGACCACACCCTGCAAACCGATCGATTTAGGGAACGGGATGGTTCCCGCTCTAGAAAACCGTGCCACCCCGTCGCTAGCCGATAACACGAAATCCTTCGAAATCCTTCTCGCCGAGGATAACAGAGTCAACCAACGGCTCGCCGTCAAGATCCTTGAGAAATATCACCACGCAGTCACCGTCGTCGGAAATGGACTCGAGGCCGTGGAAGCAATCAAGAAGAAGAAGTTCGACGTCATCCTCATGGACGTGCAGATGCCGATAATGGTTTGGCTCCCAGTGGATCGCCCCTAATTATATTATAGCTTGCTAACTGCGAACAGGGAGGCTTTGAGGCTACTAATAAGATACGCGAATACGAACGCAGCCTTGGATCTCATCGAACACCGATCATCGCACTCACAGCGCACGCCATGATGGGAGATCGGGAGAGGTGTATCCAAGCCCAGATGGACGAATATTTATCCAAACCTCTACAGCAAAACCACTTGATACAAACGATTCTGAAGTGCGCAACTCTTGGTGGCGCGCTTCTCGAGAAGAACCGAGAACGAGAACTGGCTCGTCAGGCCGAGCAAAAGAACGGCGGCAAGCAGAACGGACAGAACCACATGAGGCCTAGCCTAGAGGGTCGTTCGATAACGACGAACGAACCCCTGATGGGAACCATGGAGAGCCCATCTATTGTCTCGACGAATCAGGACGATCCGTTGCAAAGGGCACGTTCAACCCTCTCTGAACCCTGCGTTCAAAATGACTAACATGCGATCACCTGTTCAGCTCCTGATAAGAGCTCACAGTAACTGATCAGTTTCCGTTGCCGGACAAGTCTTAAGGGGGCATAACTCTCTTGGAGTAAATTCCCCTTAACACATTCCGGAATCCGTGTTACAATCAAGAGTCGCTTCTTCTTGATCATTCTCACGATACCCAAGACCTACGAGAATGCCACCAGTTATAGGTGCTATCGCCGCTTAATTTTCTTGTGCTCTCGTTCCACAAGCTTGATTACGAGTTAGTGCTACACCTTTTAGCTGTTGTTGCTCGTTCTCCGGGTCTACGCCTCTTTTTGTTATCACGATGTCCGGGGAAGTGGATAAGGATGTGCCGCTTTTGGGGAGGGAGCAGCTACTGCAACTGTCGGTGTTTCATTGGGCGTTCTTCTCTTGCTTTATGTTTTAAACAATAGTCACGCGAGTCGTTTGCGAAATATCTCAGTCACGGGTAATTTCCCCTCGACATTGGCTTGTTTCGGGCTATTGTACCAGGGTCCACCGAGAAGGGATGAATGAATTGTTATTGGGAGGGGGGGAGGAAACACGAAGTTATTTGTTTTTTTGGATTGAGAATAACAGCATGTCTAGATTCCTACGTCGGAGTCTTCCGTGACGGTTCGAAACGTATCATATATGGAGTAAATAGTGCTTGGGTCCTGTGTATCATGGAATTCAGTCGGTGCCTTCTTATGTCCGTTTGTTGTCTGTCAACCGGCTCGCGGCTTTGTGATGCGCTCGAAAAGAGAGAAGAGAACGGAAGAGTAGAAGATGAAGATGAAGAAGCTTTTTTGTTTCTCAATAGGAACATGACGTCTGTTAATGGATCAGCGATAACGAGTTCCCGGTTTATTCTACATGGCTTCTGCTTCTCTTATGATGATCGTGATGTTGTAATGTGTGATTTATACTATGCCTTGTTGTCATCGACGTGTTTTCTGACTCTAGGTCTAAGAAATCAACGGCTTCACTGGCACATTTACAATAGTTCCTATCTCATATTCTCCCTCCTCTTCAACACCTCAACTGTGGTTACCTACTGAAGAGATACACGAGAAGGCATATCGAATACCTAATCTTCCAAACAAAACAACAAGGCTCACCCCTGGTACAACCAATTCACATGTCATAGCCAAATCCAAATACCTACTCTTAGAAGTAGATATTTTCGACTCTAAAAGACTGCTAACAAAAGCGCTAGCAGTATCAGACACATACCTACATAGAAAGCGCAGCAGCCTAAGAGAACATGACTATCTCAAGCCCGGTTGTTTACACTGCCCCTTTTATTACGTCACTCAATTCGCTAGCTCACCTACCGTTTTCACTACTATATATGGATCATCCTAGATGGCGTAGATGAGATCTCTCGCGTTTTTGCCATGTGCTGCCGAACTTTCCAACTCTCCGGGCGAGAGATCCTGGCATGAACGTGTCGTCGCTGGGATTGCCTTGGGAGGAGGTGGCGATGTAGTGTGTACATGCTCAGGGGCGGGCTAGGCTAGTTGCTGGGCTAATCTAGATCAAACTTTATTATTTAATTGTCGTAGGTTGGCCAGTGGGAAAGGGGTTTGGATGGGTTAGCTGGGAATGGGGATTCTCGGTAGTTTTTGGGTGATGGGAATGTCGAGCGGATGATTTGCGGTGGTGGTTACTAGGTAGGTTAGGAGGTCTGGGCGTGGATTTCGAGTTGTAGCTAGTATAGTGTGAAATTTGGCACGTGTAGGTCCCCCGTATGAGATGTTTTAGGGGCTTGACGTTGTGGGAACGAGGGCTTTGTCTTCTAGGTTGGTTGATCGCTGCTTTTGGGATTCTCTCGTCGTTCTCGGAGATGACGATAGGTGTATCGTAGATCGAGTTGGTTATATGTATGTGTGCGGAAAGAAATTTCTTTTCGGGGTAGTTGGGTTGCCGAGAACTATCTACCTACCTGCCTATGTATAGCTCACATAAAGGAATAGGCTACCAGGCCGCGTACACCTCACGCTAGCATCTTCTTATAACACGGAATAATTGTTATGCGACTCGATCACGAAGGATTCGTGTGCTTGAGGTGCAGCGGGAAAGGATGGATGACGATACTCCTGGATGGTCAGCTTCTCTTAGTGGACCGGGATGTTGTCAAAGTATAGTGTAGGGAGACGAAAGTAGGTTATAACTGACGAAATTGACCAAATGAGTAGCTGCAGACTGGGAAGACAGGAAGTTTTCCGGACTCCACTCAACCCAAATTTATGTGTAGGTATTTGTTCGTATCTCCAAGCTAGCGAGCGGGATATCCCAATGAAAGCTTCTAACCCCGGGAAGCGGAAGGTCCTCCGCACATAGTCTCAGATATATAGACTTGTCCGTACATATATCATAAATACAGACTTCTGGATGCATCATTAATGATAGAAACCCATGATGTAGCATTGGCTGCCTTTCTCGTGACGTTGTTTATCTGCGAGAAAGTTTGGGTGCTCTGGAGCGCGGCCGTGTGATGCACATCACCGTGGAATATGCATGCCTACCTACATACTAGGGGTACGTAGGCATCGTTGTCCCCCATATCTCTCTTGGAAAAGAATCCGGGGATGAAGTATATTCCCCAATGAAGTTGAATTATGCTCATAGACGGGTTTATCGTAAGGGATAAAGGGATTGGAAAGGACTCCGGTTCTGCCATGTGATGAGTAGATTGTCGTCAGATTATGGGACCATCTTACGATCCTTAGCCCGACTTCTCGGCCTAGATGTAAGATGGTCCGTCCTGGTCGACCAGAGTTTATTTACGATACTCAAAGGAGACACCGAATTTATGGATCGATCAGTGGATCCCCCGTCCGGCAGTTTAAAGGATCGACATGCTGTCGACTCGATTGAGAAATGAGCATTCTCTTGGATATCGTCCGAGTCCTCACATATCTCCCCAGAAAATTAGAGACCACGCGAAGGAGGTACGTTGATAGGATAGCTCCGCGCCAGGAAACAGCCCATACTTGGTTAAGTGAGTGGATGGTTTTCACTAGTATGCTTAACATACTGTACATACATAGTATCGATCATAGCGAAGCATTGTTCTAAGCACTCGATTTCAATAGTGTCCTGCCTTTTTATTCGACGTCACGGCGCAGTAGAAACTTCCGAGGCCCTTGTATTGGACTACTCACTGTGTGCGGAAGGATCTTGGTTGACTTTTCTACCTGATATATGTACCTATTTACCTCTGAAGACCTATAGTTAGTAAATTTTCTATTAAGGGTTACGCCATCATGATGATATTTGGTAGGTACCTGGTAAGATTTAAGAACAGATATAAGCTATCCCTAGCTATCGAGTGCCAAGTCTGCCAACGTGCTAAAGAAAAGCTTCATTTACTCCTTCTCGAGCCTTATTATCTCGTAGGATTCCCAAAAAGCCAGATTTGTAGTTTCATTAAAGTAATTTTCTTGATCCCATCATGCCACATCTCTATCGCGTGGTTCAAGAATTAGGCCATTCTGACAATTATACGTACTTAGAGATGTGTACACACGCGTCAACTACACAATGAGCCTCAATGGCAGCTCTTTGCGAGCTATCGGATGTAGCCATTGTTATTCTAGAGTCTTCGGTGGGTTCATATCGCGACGCTGGGACGGTCACATCGCGCTTGTAACTGTAGGATTGAGGATCTAGGTACGTTTCCTTGCTCAATAGATGTCTCCATTCGTGTCGTTCTATCGGATCTGTAGCATCATTATTTCTGCGGGGTAACTAACGTAACAGTTCCCCCAAGCTTCTTGGGTTATATACATGAAATATGCATGGAATACAGATTACATATGTGCAGAGACTAATACAGGTATGTGGAGGTATGAAGAGGTGGCAAATTCGTCTATTGGAGGAATTGGGGGTAGTTTGGTTTAGGTATTTTTTTCAGCTCATGATAGTCATCGTCTATCTTGATTCTAGGTAGGCGTCGGGCCAAAACCCCTGCTCGATAGACACAATATGGCTCGATAATTGCAGAGAAACGCAACATATCATTTCTTAGACTCGGGTTTCTGTTCTTTCGGGCCGGGTACCTCAATCCTCCCGTTACTTTCTATGTCTGCCATCATATCATCGAGGTGACGCTCTATCTGGTCAAGCTTTGCTTCAATGGCGTCGGCCTGGCTCTCTCCCCTGTTCAAACACACGTTAGCTGCGTGATTCTCTGAGAACTTCAGCAGAGATAGAGGAAAGTGGCATGTGAACTTCTGATCTGCTATAAAGATATGTATAACTAGAAATAGACCATAGAGCTGGACGGAGATATCTGACGAGAGTATGTATTCCGACGACAAGCGTTGGTATCATGTATATGTATGGACTTCTAAGACCAGTCGTCCCACATAAGTCATACGAAGGGATACGTCACGTTAAAACCGAAGGACTCTCTTTGCTCTAAGACATCAGCATTGACGTTGGCATATGAAAGGCTGGTGGTGCTAGGCATCACGATGTGGAGTAAATGATTTTGCTAACCACTTGGGTACTAGCAAAAAGCAATGCGAGTGAGACAGCCAAATACGCGTGGACTTCCACGATGGGAATGCAGTATGTAGTGTGGAAAATCGATAAAAGTGAACTGTTTTTCCCATGCGGATAATACATTCAGGTGGGATTCGGTTAGGTGAAATGCGAGTCGGGTCTATTCTTCGCCACTAGGCGGGGGATCTAGACCTTTGGTGACAGGGGGCCGTGTGATGGGGAAAGGCTACGCTTATCATGCCAGTTCGTATGCAAAAGGAAACTTTTGCATGTTGGGAGGGATGGGCAATTTAGGAGCTTAGAAGTGATTTGCATGGTGAATAATGGGACATTCGAGGCCGGATTTGGGCATTTCCATGTGGCAACGCCTCCCGAACTTATAAGCCGGGAATAGGCAACTCATCTGGCTTGTTCAGGTGACGAGATCAACTGTTGGTCAACCATGGAACGGTCTCAAGCCAACAAGGCTCTAATAGTAAGCATATGTACATACGCTCTTAAGTCCTGGAGAATCTAATAGCGAGGTTTTGTGTTAGAGCAAGAGAAATCCATCGTCTAAGACATTTATCGAGGCTGCTAGCTTACCTCAGCTACCCTTGCCTGCGTCGATTTAGGGCGGGAAGCACCGGCGGAATCGCCGTTAGGCTTTTGAGATTTGGTGTCATCGTTCGAGGGTGATTGAGGCATGGCGAAATTACTGTAGTAGCCTGATTTTTATCTACAGTATATACAGTACTAGGTGGAATGTCGATTTTAAGATTCGATGTGGATCTTAGGATTAGAAACGGGTGATTGGTGAAGATTCTCAAATGTTGGTTGGATGATGAAAGTGTTCCGTGTTGCCGCTAGGCGTTCTGTTCGGAAACAGTAACGTATAATATACTCAGTTATAAAAAAACGGGTGGAGATCTGTGTTGTAGAGGATGAAGATTGGGTAGATTGTCCGGTCTAGGCAGTTGTTAGACGGGTCGATCCGAGTATGTGGTGATTCCCTGATAGGTCCCAACAGTCAGCCTCTCCACGTGAGATCAATTAAATGATTTTCTATTATGATAAAAAGTGTAAAATGCAACTCTGTGCAATGATCTTATTCCACACTGCGTAGAAGATCGACAGGTTGGACGATGGCCTCAAACGCTGATCTTCTCTCCAGCTGGAAAATAACTCCGATGTCAAAAGGAAAATTATCTTTCGTTCCTTAAGGCCTAGATCTCTGGATCTCGGCATTTTAAACGCTTCTCGTTTCTCGCTTCTCAACAGTTTGGGACAACCCGTCATTGGTTGTGGGTATAGTAATAGCGCAAGAGAGAAAGCGTGCAAGCGCAGACAAGAGTCAAGGACTGTTATGTACAGTAGTCTCTGTTAGGTCTGCTAGGTCTGCTAGATCTGCTAGTCTCGCAAGACCACGTGTTTTCTCTTTACACTTACCACCTGGCGGCCAGGCAGCGTACATACATTTATTGTTTACCTAGTACCAGATACCAAATACTTAACAGGAGCTAGGAGGTTACTCCGAGTCGTCGGATTGGGCGAATCCAGGTTCAGGTGTGCGATGTGCGATGTGACTGAAGACTGACAAAGAATTCCATGTATTTCGATGGGAAACTGAAATAATGAATCTTGACAGTTGCCGAAAGTTTGGAAACTTCTTAGATTTCAAGGTTCATTCTTTAGATAAATCCATAAACCGTATATCTAAATAATTGTCCGGTGAGATATATATGTATCAACAAGGATTAACATAAATAAGCGCCTCGATATATAGATATACACTTAACCGATCTTATACATACGAATAATCAGGTGATTATTCTGCGGAGGATCAATCAATAGCGCATATCGATTGGCGGATGAAATTCCTACCTCCTACATACATTTATTACACATGTAAGCATTGTACGTACATACATACCCGTGACATTTCTACCTACGCCAGCTACACGTACATACATACATACACATACATAATCTCATACATAATACCTAGTACTACTGTACAACTCACGTTCGCCAACCAAATATTATTAAGACCGCCGCCAGACTGTCAAATTGCCAGACAGCCAGATTGCCTCGACTGTGGAAGATGGGAAAAGCCTTCCCTCATCTGCTCATCTCGATCCTGTCCCACAATGACGATGGCCGTGATATCTTCTTACAAGGGGAAGAAGGTGGGAGAAGTGGGAGAATTTATTCTAATCTCGTCGTCGCCCTTCGATCGAATCTCGAACCTGGCCTATGGTAGCCAAGGCGAGCATACAGATTCGTATACAACCTGACATCTGACAGTAGGTCGAAATACCACAATGCCGGGAATTGTACAGTATCATCCGCCCATTTCTTCTAACCTCTCCCACCTCTTAGTGGGGGCGCAAGAGGGGCATATTGGCACACAATCGCCGATATTTGGAAGTGGATGCAATAGGAAATAAAAAACATCTGACGGAACTTAGTTAGTCTGGGGTTCGTTAGTTCGACGGACGCCAAGAATTTCGATCCCGGGCTGAAATGTCGATTGCGAAACCCTGTCCTCTTCCAATTTTCTTGGATCTCATTGGTAACCTGCTGCTAGCCCTTGACTTCCGTTCCTCTAAACATTGGCTAGTGGTCCGACACCCCGATACCTTTCTATCCTACTACGGAAGAGATAGAAGAGGTACCTGACAAGAATCGCATCATCACCGATTCCTCTGGACGACTTCAACCAGTTCAACAGAGGTCAGTTTCCCTTTTGGGAATCCGAACTGGTCCCTGAAGGAGGGGGGGAAGATGAGCCAGACAGGCAAGACAAGCAGACTAGCAGATCACGTAAGTACCGGTATGTATCTGCATACATTAGGTACCTAGGTAAGTAAGCGGGCAAGACGTTGATGACTTATGTATTTGCCATTGGGATAGAGGTGGCAGAGAGAGGCTCCCCCTAATAGTACTAGACGTACTAGACGTACCAGACACGACGTCGAAGAGGTACCTCGCGAGGCAAGATGGCGGCGAGCTCGGGAGCAGACACACACACATCCACATCCTGGCAAGAGACACGAGATGAAAGCAACCCACTGGAAATACGTCCATCTCATTTGTCGCAAGCATCGGTCTGCGATCTCGATCTCTCCCACCAGCCTGTAACCCTTTCTTTTTCACTCGGCTGCTACTGCAGTACCATGGCATCTCTCGCGTGATCTGCAAACTGGTTCGACCTCTTGGTGAGTTCTTTTTTCTCATTCATCGCCATCAACCTCCATCACTAGAGATGCGATGAAGGGTGAAAAAAGGGGGATAGGTGTAGATGGAGATGGAGATGGACGGGCCTTTTTGAGCTGGCGAGAACTTGCCTACGGAGCACTAAGCTTTAGTCCCTGGATAGGCTGCATGAGCTTGATTCTCACCAACTCCATGCATTTCACTCTGCATTTATGGAGCCTTGGTACTTAGTCCGGCTATGATCATCTAGGAATAGTCACGTTCCTGAGCAAGTCTCGTACCTACAGTACCTACCTACCTCTAGGGGACTTTGCAGAGGCGCAAGAGGCGTGACCTCACACCTCACTGCCTCGATAGTTACATACCCAAGCACCCCCAAGCCAGGACGGCCAGGTGCCAGGCAGTCCAGGTACCGTGTTCAAAGTCGTTCTAGTGTTTCTAGGAGTGTCCACCGGTGGACATATTATTGTCCATCAGCCCATCAGGCCATTTCGTGCTTGCATGTTCTCAGGACTTCTCGCCGGCCATCAAAAAAAGAGAAGTTAATGGGAGCTAGTCCTGTAAGTGAGTTTCTATTTTTTCTCTTCAAGCAAGCGCTAGCTTTTCTGGGTCCTTGCCGCAACCGTTATTTTTCAGATTTTCCCTTTTGCTGTCACACATCAGTTCTTTCGATTTTCCTCGATTGCGCTACTCATCGAGATCTGGAAAATGCAGAGGGATCGTATATCACCACAACAGCCCGGGATCCAGAATGCCAATTTTCCACATTTCCCCTAAACATTGCCATTGACCAACACGGGGCAAACAGACAAATTCGATTCCCAACCCTTTGATGCCACAACATACACGATCTTGCAAACCCGCATCACAGCTTCGCGCATTTCCCTACTGTAGTGTACTTTAAAATTTTATTTTATTTTTCCTTTACCATATTTTATTCTATTTTTATTTTCATTTTTTTGTCTTGCATCTGACCCCTTCGAGAAGAGGGATCGGTCTGCCATACATACACCTAGCTGCTATTATCTCGGCATTTCACTCACGCGCGCACTCCTGTAATTCTAGACCCCACGCCCCACACCTAACCTTCGCATCAAACCCACGACGCGTCTCCATCTTTACGTAGCTTCGGAATCCCATTTCGTTGCGGTTTGCAGACAGTTAGTGCCGTGGGAAGGCAACCTTGGAAGCAATCCCGACACTACCCCAGTAGGCTGGTTATTAGACCAGTTATTTCGGCGAGGTAGAAGCGACTGACGCTTGTGTACATTGGTTGTTGTGGTTTGTTGGTTGTCGAAAAAAAGAGTCGAGTTGACATCAATTTCCGGAGTCCTTGGGATTGTCTACCAAATAACAACTCCGATTCGCAAACGGTTCGACCGCCGAAATTGAAATCGCTACTTACGAGTTGCGTCGTAATCGCCAGTCCGGGAGCCTCATGCTGAATTGAATTTTAGCGATTGTTCCGCAGAAACGCGGCCAAATCAGCTATATGAATTCCCTCGAAGTTATCTTTGGCGAGCTAGGTATCTCTCAGTACCTTGAGGCCTTTGTCGACCAAGGATTCGATTCATGGGAAACAATTTTGGATATCACGGAATCTGATCTGTATGTTTTGTTCTGTGTCGTAGCTCAGAGTCAATGGCTGACGTGACGACATTCCAGAGATGCACTTGGCGTCAAGCTTGGGCATCGAAGAGTAAGAAGGCTTTCTAGGTAACGGCTAGAACAGACGTAATACTAACTGCTATAAAGAAACTTCAGCGTCGAATAGCGAACTACAGAGGTGTCGCCCCCGAAACATCCTTAGTATCTCCTACCCGCACCAGTATCGAAGATGCAAAGCTCGACTCGAATCGGATCGAACCTTTAAAATCCGATAAACAAGATGGGGCGGCCGTCGCGAAACGAAAGTACAGGCGGCATCCAAAGGTTCGTGTTTCTCAGCATTTAATAAATATACATTTTACGTTGTTTTAGTCATTGAGTGATTTTGATATCATGTCTTATGGTATGGAACGGATGACTGACATTATAATAGCCGGATGACAACGCTCCGGAGCGCCCACCATCGGCGTATGTGCTATTCTCGAATAGTAAGTTTCTCCTATAGTGGTAGTGCGAAGCATCGTGGATCATTGCTTCTCTACTGCCAAATATAATAAATCGCTTACTAACAGGCTCAGAAATGCGAGAAGACTTGAAGGGTCAAAACTTGACATTCACGGAGATTGCTAAGTTGGTTGGTGAGAATTGGCAAAATTTGTCACGGGATGAAAAAGAACCATTTGAAAGACAAGCACACGAAGCAAAGGAGAGGTATAATCGCGAGCTGGGAGGCTATAAAAAGACGACAGAGTATAGAAAGTACTGTGATTACTTACATGAATTTCGTAAAAGACAAGCAACGCAATTACAAGGTAACAACCACCCCATAACTCCTCCCTATGGTGTCTAAAAAGGTGAAATTCTAACAGATTTAATAGAAAAAGATGTTTCTAAACGTCTCAAGACTGAAGCCGATAGTACTCGCGGCAGCAGTACTGGTGGTTCAACAGGTGCCAGCGGTACGACTAGCGGTACAGTCAGTGGTTCTGACAGTCAACCCGGTAGCGAGCCTCCTCCTTCGCGTCAGCAAAGGATGGGTTCATCGGCGTCAACTGTTGAAAGTAGTTTCTCACCGGGTGTGAACGGAATATATCACGGGGATGATCTGCACTCTCCAAGGACTCTATCATACGACGAACCTAGTAACGGGCGACCACGAGGATTATCAAGTCCGACTTCACGTGACCTTTCTGTCCATTCGAGTCGTCGACCTGGTTGGCTTGACAACCAACGGATCTATGGAGAGTCCCCCAACGCAGTCGCTTCATGGTTCGATCCAAGGAATGTTCAAGGAACTTTAGTGCATTCACCAGAGAACGGGTTACCTAGTTCCGCGCCAACTCATGGCCCAGGCAGCGGGTCCGGTCGTGGGTCAAGATCTTCTGGATCAGCATCTTTGTCACGGCCACCATCGCTGAAGACTGAGCAGTCTTCGTCCGGAAGCGTAAGCTCGCTGAACTCCTACGCTATCCCGAGGACACCAAGCGATGCATCATTACCAATACATGCTCTACTGACAAAACCGGAGACCCCGTATGCCCCTTGCCCGGCACCGGCCCCACAAACCCAGTTACCGCTATTTCAACCACAGTCTGGCCGACCCCCAGGTGACCAGCTAGGTAGCAATGGTATGTCTCCCCCCAAAAGACTGTATTGGCACAACTAATACTTAATATAGGATTCCCTCCGGGTCCAACTACTCCGAAGTATTCGATTCCGAGTCTTCAAAAGGAGGGCGCTTTTGGCGTACCAGCCGAACCAAGGCTTTCTCCCACTTCCAAATATGGTAGTCCAAATGAGAATAGCCTCGATGGCATTAGTGCCCTTCTTAAAGCGCGAGAAATTGTCGATCGACAGTAAAGCGGGTACAAATTATTGTTGAACCCCTCTCTTACTATACCTCTCGTGGATTTCTGCACTAATCACATTTGCATATTAAAAAGGGTACGCGGAGCATGGCATTTACGAGATTTACAATCATGACTGGTATTTACTGGGACGGAAACGAGCGTTTGGAAATTGCAACACGACATGACACTCAAATGCGATCATTTTGACAGTTATCACCCGGAATTTTGCAGGCCTGCGTCTCTTATGTTGGGGGAAAGAGCCCGATACAGCCCTTGCTGCAAAGACTACGAATTTATTCCATCTAAAATACCCATTTTCTACCTACATCTGTGATATCTACCTACAGCGACTGATTTCTATTTTTTCTCAACCAAAAAGGGGTCTCCATGTTGACCTTGTCTGTTTGCACTATCAGATGTGATTTCTGCCACCATTTACTATCACTACAGGTCCCTATTTTATTATATATAGGAGTTTTGTTTTTTAGGGGATACTCTAACCGGTACTCTCGTGAGAGAACTGCAAAACTTTCTGGCGTTGAGAGGTATCGAGGGTGGGCTTCATGTATTTATGGACATATGGGAGCGGACATTCGCACCTTTGGTGAAATTTTATGATCTTCAAGACTTTCTGGGTACATCCTATTATTTACGTGCTACTTTGTTTTAATATACATAGGTTAGTATCTACCTACCTAGGTAGGTACTATCTACCTATCTACTGCACTTCGCTATTCGGACAATTGTAATAGCTGCGCGAATTAGATAAAAGAATCGGGAGCCGCGAGGCTTAGGATGATCGTCCAGTGAGGACGCTCGATCTAATGTATCATAAGTCGCCGCAGCCATCCCAATCGATGCAGGATTTGCGCCTCGTCGGTCTTGGCGAGCTCATTGGTTGGCGATCGGCTTTATTTTGACGCCATTCTGACCGGTCCATTTCTTTCTTTTTCGTAATTACAACGAGGCTTATGGCTTATTACACAAACTCTTGCGGCACGGCACGAACCCGGGATCGAAGATGTGGGAAAAAAGAAAAATTTCGATTGGAAACGGTAGGTATGTATGCGGGTTAAGAGGTACCTAGACGATCCATGTACGCGTATAACTCATGTTCGTCATCCCGTATCCCGATAGTAAAGTAAGTGGCGCGCCGACCACTGAAGCCGCCATCATAAGCATGACCCATCATCACACACAAAACGTTGCTTGCTTGCTTGCTTGCCTTCCCATCCTAACCGTCATATCACGTGCATATTCCCTTCCCGATCTTTCAAACTGGTACCGCTATTGGATAATTACCAAGGTAATTGGTTGATTTAATCGAACGAACGAACGAATGGATGAGCGAGTCCCCATCTACGTAAGTACCCACGTAGAAATACCAAAGAATCAAACCTCTCCAGTAACCTCAGCCGTCCAATCCTTGCGGATCTCAAGCTCAAGCAACTCAGGCGTGTTCTCGATGACGAGACCCTTCTCGTTAGCCAAGTGCAGCAGACAGATGAAGCAGAAGCTCGTGGAAATGTCGTCCATGACGGTCTTGGGGTACACCGCCTGGAGGTCGTTCATGACGTTCGTGAACTTGAGCGTCGGTTCCTCCTCTTTCACCTTCTCCGGCGGTGTGGGAAGTCTTGAACGGTCGGGGTCCTGAGGTTCATGTTAGATTATATTATATCGGATTGAAGAATGTGGTTGAGGAAATGTAGGTGATGATGAGAATGGGATTGTGACTTACGACAGGAGTTTCGGGGAATCCTATTCCCTTCCAGAGCTCCTCCTTCAACCGACGCACGTCCACTTTCTTCGCCACGCGCGCGTATTGCACGTACTCGGGTCGTAATCTTCGTGTCGATGTGACTAGTTGTGTTCCGAACCCGCCTGTCGTCATGCCGTTGTCCAACATACCCGTGATGCCAATGTCCTGGGTGACGGGGACGTCGGCGCCCGGCGAAAAGTGATCCCTTGCATCGGCAAACTCGTCATCGTCGTCATCTAGCATGCCACCGCCGGGTAGCGGCATTTCATCGTCGAAGAAGTTTGCATCATAGTCGCCCGTGGGCAGGACCGTATCCTGCTCCGCGCTTTGCTGCGGTTCCCTCTGCGCCCAGAAGGCCTCGTTCATATCACCCGCCGCTACATTGTTGTTATTCTCTTGATGGCCGGTACCGAAAAACCCGCCCTTGTTTCCGAAACGGTTCCGACGGCTCATCCGAGCCTTCGGCTTTAGGAAGAGACTTAGTAACTGCGTCGAGTTAAAGTGTTTGTCGTCGGGGAGAAGGTTTCGGGTCTTGGATTTCCAGTCTTTCTTGGGCATGGATATGGCGGAGTTGCTTGCCGCCTGCGTAAAAATGGTGTCGGCTAGTTTCTGGTCTAGGGGAGATTTGAAATCTATCTCGAAAATCTCTTTCTCTTTTCGTTGACGGGTGGTCGTCTCCGGCTTGTTGGCATCCTTGATTTTCCGTATCCTCCAGTGTTCTGGGCCGGCCCAGTTCTTCTGAAGAGCTTGGTCGAAGTAGCCTAGGATATCTTCGTGCATCTGATCTCCGCTCTTGGCGTGCTTCATAGAGATAATATAGTCGCCGTTGTCGTCCTCAACGCCATCAACTCCGTCTACCCCAGGCATACCATCGTCAGGCCCAACAGTGTAAGGCCGCATCTGAGGTTCTAGTGCAGCTTCTCGCGCCCATGCCTCTCCGCCCTCACCGAACGCGACCTCGGCGATATCAAAGCCTCCCATGGCGGTCATGTCATCAAAACCGGCAGGGTTATCATCGTCGATGAACATGCCGGATTTGTCGCCACTAGCATTAGTTCCGCTAAGGTCTTCGTCATCGTCGTCGTTCTCCGAAGCACGCAGGAAAGGTAATTCCATCGAGCCCGACGGATTGCCGAGTTCGAAAGTCTTTAATGACGGGCAGATATCTTGTTCGTCTAACCTGCTAAGGTCCGGGAAGAATTTGGCACCGAGGGCGCCAATATCGATCTCTACGCCATCCTCTTCTTGCGCAGGTTGCTCCGTGATAGTTGCTTCCGACCGGTCATCTACTTCTTCATCCTCTTCTTCGGCTGTGGCATCTTCTCTCCGTCGAGGTTTACTACCCTCTGCAGAAGCATCGTTGGCATCATCACTGCTGTCAAAGACAATGCGACCTTGGCCGTCGATCATAAGGTGGTTTAGTAGAAGACCTTTGGCGCCACCTTCGTCGAAATCTGCCGAAGCCTTCTTGAATAATGGGTCCACTCCGAATTCCAATTCGAACTTTTTGAGCTGTAAGGAAGCAAAGGATGGTACAAGAGTAGTTTCTGAGGATCGTTGCTGTAAGAGTAATGATTAGTATTCTCCCATAATGCACCAAATAGCAAGCACGTAGTTAAGCTTACTCTTTTCTTGGTTTTCTTCTTGATTACGTTCCCATCTTCGTCGACTTCCTCTTCACTATCCTCGCCATCTTGATCGCCATCCCTATCTTTCTTCTTGGAATTACTATCCGCGAGGCCGCTAAGTAATTTACCTGTTTCTGTTGCTACGCTATCCACTCTGCTGGTATAAATCTTGACACACCCGTCTAGGGTACAACTGGCTCTCTGGAAATTGACACCATCTCCATCCTTTAGCAGCGACATGTCGTGGAAATAGTCGATAAGCGCGAAGTTCCAAGAGTTGGTAGCATTGATCTTGTTGTCGGTGGCCATTTTCATCCATTCTTCGAAATTGGCTAGGATAGGCATGCGCTTCATAGGCGTCACACCGGTGTTGGTGCCGGCCACATAGACGTCGTCATCGTCATCCCCAGCGCGTCGCGGCGTGCGCGGATTCGAGCGGGGAGACCCATTATCGATATCAGCCAGCCTTTTCTTCGCAGGCGTCGCCGCAGCCGCCTGCAGGTCGTTAATCTGTCTTTCGTGAAGGGCTCGCCTTGAATGAAGTCGCCCTTTTCTCTCTTGTGCGTCGTCGTTTAGCGGGATCCTGTTTTTTGGGAGTTGGAAGTCAGAATTATGGTCCAGCAGGCTGCCGTAACAACCGGTGTAAACATCTGACTAAGTCATCTAGTCATGTTATGTACTCACTTTAATGGAGACTTAAAAGGAGATCCAGAAGAACCGGAAGTTGTTCGACTACTGACGCTGGCGCGAGGAACTTGAGCTACCCGAGGCATCTTCGTTGTTTATGAATCGGGTCGTGATGCAGGTCATAAAATTATGTGTGTCGCGTTGCCGACTCGGAGTTTGTGTGGTTTGTGTGTTTGTGTGCAGGACGAACTACGACTTTACTTTGCGCAAGTAAACAATCCATACAATCAGAAAGTAAGCTAAACCTATCTGGTGCACAATTGGGGTTTTTGGCGGGGTGATGCCCAGTGAAAGACTCCAGCTCAATTCTCCAGTGCTGCGCCACCGCCACAAAGTTCGTGGAGTCAAGGAAAGTTTCAAGGTTCAAACGGGTTGTGGCGTTCTCTTCCAATTTTCCAAATTCTCCAATTAGAAATGATTAATTCATGATTAGCACATTAACACAGCCCTCCTTGGCAAAGTAGGTACGCTGTACGCTGTACGCATTCGATACCTGGTCGGAACTTCCCCCCCGAATACGTGGGGTGGTACTCTCCGTACTTGCAAATTATTTAAGACTTGATGGAGCAAACTAGGGGGGATAAAGAGCAAGATCAACCGGATCTCTTCTTTTAAACATTTCTTCAAACATCCTAAACATCCAACGTTCTAAAGCATTTTCCTAAAGTTTCCCAAAATCTCCCAAAACATCCCATGAAAATATCTTATTTTAACATTCGCCAAGTAACAGCGCATACGGAAATCTTGCTATCGACGTCACACATTGTCTGAGGCAACCCATCTATACTTACCTAACAATGCCAATGCCCTGATATCCAGCGGTCTGGGAAGGATCTGACGCACTAGCTTAAGTTACAAGACGCACACATGGACACACATGTAATGTCCGGGGTATTTTCCATCGTCCACGTCAACGGGACGTAGGGATGGTATGTACTGGAGTAGTATCGGCAAGGTACTAACCGGGTATCTAATTGGTCTTTGACGATCGCTGAATAGAACCTGAGCTCACCACTTCATCAATACCACCTTCACCACATCCCAAGAAATACCTAATACCTGATACCTTACAGTCCAGACCAGACTCCTAACTTGGTTATCGTTCTATCATTACCATCCATCCCGAAGAGGATTCGGCTTTCCCAATCGTTCTTCTATATATCAGATATCATCCTTTCGTTCCTTCTTTTAAGCATTAATTATCAATTCAATCATATTTGTTCATGTCATAATCCCCAATTTCCTATCCCCTATCCCCCCCCTTGGCTATGGAATTTTAATCGCAACTACCTAGCCACCCTACCAAGCCAAAATGCACACTGCCTTATCTTGGAGGAAGGGGGGCATCAGCCTTCGGCCATTTTATACGACCATATTCATTATTACCCTCCTCACCACATATAGTATATTTATTAAGGGACCAACAATCTCGTCGAAGGAGTCCCCGTCCCTGTCTCCGCGATCTGGTGAAGAATGCCGCTTGGTTCACAATGCCGCAGACAAATGTGCCTTTGTAAGGCGCAATTGCAAGGATGACGAAGCAGGCATAATAGAATATTTAACCTTCTATTATTGCGACCTCGAGCGCGCACAACCCCTGGCTTTCATTATACTGGCCCTCTGGCTGGGTCTGCTGTTCACCACTATCGGTATAGCCGCCAGTGACTTTTTCAGCGTCAACCTTAGCACCATTGCAACTGTGCTTGGTTTAAGTGAGAGTCTTGCTGGAGTCACCTTCCTGGCTTTGGGAAATGGCTCGCCGGATGTATTCAGCACATTTGCCGCCATGGGCTCCAATAGTGGAAGTATGGCCATTGGCGAGTTAATCGGAGCTGCCGGCTTCATCACCTCTGTCGTTGCTGGCTCCATGGCCCTGGTACGCGAGTTCAGGGTTTCTAGGAAAACCTTTGTGCGAGACATCTGTTTTTTTATAGCAGCTGTTAGCTTTGCCATGTGCTTTTTAGCCGATGGGTACTTGCATTTATGGGAATGTTCCGCCATGATCGCTTTCTACATGTTCTACGTCGTCGTCGTCGTTGGCTGGCACGCAGTTGTCAAGAGGCGAAAAGCTCGGCGAGCCAAGGAGGCCCAATCTCGCGGCCATTTCTATGCATCCTCAAACGACCATGGTGACGATGCATTAGAACCCTATAGGGATGAACCAGATGACGAGGATATTCCGCCAGCAGAGCGTCGTATATCATGGAGGAGCGGGTCCGATATCAGTGCATTAGAGCGAGGACCCAGAATTGAGGTTGGCTCAACCAATGATGACGATGATAGCGACCATAGCCAGCATGTTGCAGCGGAGGTGGCGAGCAGCATGCGAGTGAATCGCCCGCGTGGAAGGAGAAGTAACACCACAACCATCACCCCAATCCGTCCCAGTCTAGTCGGCGCGCTAGAATTCAGGTCAGTGTTGTCATCGTTACAAGAGGAAGGAAACCTACGAATGCGGCCAATACACCATGGTCGTACCACTTCTGCCGATCTCTTGCAAGAAGGACACGCTATTATTCGGGATAATAAGAGCGTACAAACGATCCAGGGCGTTCAAGATGCTTCTATCGTGGTTAGAAATCGCTCGCGATCGTCCGGGGCCGTCCCAGTAACTGTTGATGCCGACCTTACCCCTCCAGAGTCATCGGGAGATAGAGGTAGAGCTCCCAGCCCACATACCATAGGAGGGAAGTTGGCTCCTCCACCTAACGATCTCTTAGGCGGTCTCCATGCAGAGAGTTCGACTTCGGAGGACTTTTCCCATAAACCACAGTTACATCGTCTCCGTATCCCAAGTCCCCCTCGTGGTAGTGCAGGATCTTCACCATCATTATCACCATTCCCTGCATTTACAGAATCGCCATTTGTGATCACAGAAAACCCCCAACAACTCCCGCATATAATGCTACCGCCCTCTATTGAAGAGCGAAATGCGTCTCTCCGCGACCTGGTTGAAAACAGAAATTCAAGGCCCACTAGGTGGTGGCCCTATCAGTTATTACCCCCACCACAGACCATTCTTTATACTCTATTCCCTACTTTACAAGGCTGGAAGAGCAAAAGTATCTGGGATAAATTTGTTAGCGTAATATCTGTTCCTAGCATATTCTTTCTCGTCATCACGCTGCCCGTGGTGGAGACCGAGACACCGGACGATGAGATAGAAGAGAGTATTGTAGAACAAATAGCCCCAGACCAAATAGGGAACGTGGCAGCACCAGTGTCACCAGCTTCCTTCGACCCGGGATTCTCTATTCATCCCGAAACGGAGTGGCAGCGGTACAGACGGCGCACAAGATCTAGAGCATCTAGTCGCAGCCGTTCACCTAGCCATGCTAGCTTCATTTCTCTGAATGCCCCTAACGACGCGCAAACCAACGATGAGCAAGGATCAGACCAACCCCAGGCGATACCAGTCTTTGTCCCTGCAAATATACACGTATCAAAACCTGCCTCGGAACCTGAACAGACAAGCTCAACGCTGAGCGAGGAAGAACAAGGATGGAACCGCTGGCTATTGATCCTCCAGGTTTTCACCGGTCCAATCTTCTGTGTGCTTATCGTCTGGGTAAACATGGCAGAGGATCTTGACCAACCTCTCACTGTCCTCTGGAAAGCGTTGCTAATCTCGCTTGCCTGCTCTCTATTTATACTTGGCTTTATACTTATGACTACATCTTATGATCATCGGCCTAAGTATCATTTCTTATTCTGCTTTCTGGGATTCTGTATTGCGATTGCCTGGATCTCTACTATTGCTGGTGAAGTAGTAGGGGTACTTAAAGCATTTGGTGTCATCCTAGACATATCCGAAGCGATACTAGGCCTCACTATTTTTGCAGTTGGCAATTCGGTGGGAGACCTAGTTGCGGATGTGACTGTCGCTCGACTGGGTTACCCAGTGATGGCCTTGTACGTTGTTCCCATAATAGAAATTGTGTCGACCCGCTTAACTGACCAACCCTGTGTAGATCGGCCTGCTTCGGAGGTCCCTTGTTGAACATACTGCTCGGCATCGGCCTCGGGGGTGCGTATCAATTAATAAACGCGGCAAAGGACAGGAAAATAGAACATCCCGAAGAACCGATACTTTATGAGCCGTATCACATACAAGTTAGCGGGACGCTAATGATTTCCGCCATTACCTTACTTTTCACGCTCCTTGCGCTGCTCATCGTCGTACCAATGAACAGATGGATCATGAACAGAAAGATTGGCTGGAGTTTGATAGGGCTCTGGTCTATTAGCACGGTTGTGAACTTGGCTATCGAGATCACGGGAGTGTGGCAGGAAATAGCTTAAGTGCGTTGCCCGACAAAGACGAGTTTATGATACATTTCTGTCATTACCTGTACGATTGTAAGAAATTGAAATAGTTCGAGCTTAGCATGGCGTTTTGGGCGATAACATTTAAATGGGATTTTAATTGGAGAGGCAATTTATTTAAGTAAACATCCAGTAGGGCTGTCCTTGGTGACGCTTTCGCTTGTAAGATAGAAGAAAAGCGCCAAAAAGCCCAGTCGAGCGGCTTCCACTGCAATCGAATGCAAGACTACGAAAACCCGATTATCCATTCGTCATTCCTAGTTAGAAGCCAAGCATTTAATTACCTACGGTACAGTTGTCAGTATGTAGGTAGGTATTTCCAGTGTGTCTACTGTCACTACGAGTCCGCCACCTGAGTCATTAAGATGACTTTACTTATTGCACTGCTAGCTGATGTTACGTCGGCTACAGCACCTAGGTGCGGTGTCGAAAGCCACGCAGCCATATTGCTCAGTCAGTACGATAAATACACTCACTCAAAGGTAACGGCGTACAACATTTTACAAGTATAAGATGTTGCCAAGCACCTTTCTAGACATTTCCCCTTTTTCATTTCAGGAAACCTTTCATCTCCTTGTCAGATTCGTGATATCCTAATCAGCTTGTCAAATCACTACACCGTAACAGATAGTATATTTACTGCATAGACACACATAATCGCTCCCCGTCGTAGATTCACTGGAAAACTACCTACCAAGTCAGATATGGGGAAGAAACGAGATAGATGGTACGAGCGACAAATAGAAGCATCTCGCCAAGCCAAAGCGGAGGCCGGTAAGCCTCTCTCGGAGAAGACTACCAGGTCCGAAGCGACGCAGGTTCCTTTCGTAGAGAGGAAGGGAGAGAAGCGTAGAGAGCTGACGGAGGAAGAGAAGGTGGAGAGGGAAAGAGCGAGGATATGGATTAGGGAAAAGGAGGAGGAGTGGGAGCGGGAATGGGAGAGGGAGAAAATGGCAAGGGAAAGACGGAGGGAGAAGGGGAAGATGAGGGAGGGGGAGCGGGAGGATGGTTTTGGTTTTAGGGATTTCGTGAGGCCGGATTTTGTTAGGATGTGGGAGGAGAAGAAAATGCTGGAGGGGTTGAGGGCGGCTGAGGGGAAGGATGAGAGGTTGGGGTTGAGTATTAGGGCGTTGGTTGAGGCGGGCAAGATTGAGCCGCCGGGGCCGTTGGATGTGATGGATAGGGAGTTGCTTGGTCGTGAGTCGGACGGGTTGGACGAGCTGTTTGCATCGCAGGTTGATAGGGATGATGTAGAAGAGGGCGAAGTGGTGGAAGAGGTGAGAAAGGGGTAGTAGTTCTATTGTACAGCCTGTATCATCAAAGAGGACATACCCGTTTTGTCTTTCTCCATATCAGAAGAAGAATTGTATTTGGAGTAGAATTTGATGAAGTAGTAGGTTTGTTTGGGTGTCGTTAAGATTCGATCATCAGCTAGAAGCAGTACCTACCTAGTACCTAATTAGAAAAGCCTCCAAGTCAATTAAGCCTAATTGAGACCAGCTAACTCAGCCATTCAGTGTACCCAAGGCGTCGTAGGCAGGCTATGCTTTTGCATAGTCCTATCTATACCTACTACCAATGAAAGATGCCTTTAGTTACAGTATCCAGTACCAGTAAGTATTTCATAGCTTAATTTGATTCATAAACCTTTCCTCTATCTTGATACTATCTACAAATATATTTCAATCAGATTATCTAACCTTGTTGCTTGCTTTGGCGATATAATTTCAGAAGCACGCATGGCCAACAACTCCAGCGAAAGTCCCCCCAGCGGAAGTCCGAGGGCGGCGTTATATTCTCCCCTAAACTCCGAACAGCACCAAGTCAGGTTCATCGAGATTCTATCTTCTGATAACGATCAACAACCTGTAAGCTGCCTGCTCAAACCCGCGGAATTATCAGAAGATATTCGTTATGCCGCTTTGTCCTACGTTTGGGGCGACCCTAAAAATACCGAGGATATTATCATTAACGGGATCACCTTTCCGGCGACGACTAACCTGGCGTCTGCACTGTGGCATTTCAGAAAGAATAAATTCCCGAAACATGATGGAGCCAGCGATATAAAACTGCTCTGGGTAGATGCAATCTGCATCAATCAAGATGACATCCCAGAGCGTAATCACCAATTAACCTTGATGGGGTCTATCTACCGCAAAGCAACATCTGTTCTCTCATGGCTTGGGCCTCCAAAGGATATCGATCATGCACTGCCAGTAATACATGAGTTTACAAATATAATGGATAGTGCATGGGGTTGTTCAGCATCACATGAGGATATGGTACAGATAGGGTTTGAATGGCTGATAACTTCTCCGAAACTTCATATCTCGGATTCTGATATGACATTGAATTGGCGACCTGTTTTCCAACTAGGGCTCTGTGGTTATTGGAAGAGGATGTGGATTATCCAAGAAATGGCATTGGCAAGGTCATCAGAAGATCTGTGGCTCATCTGCGGTTCTAATTACGTTACCTACAAGGAAGTTAAAGCATTCTTTTCCCTTTTCCTTTCGGTTTCCGGGAGACTTATACCAGAAACCACTAGGTACGGGTCGCCGAAAACGACAGAACAAATTTGGAACACGGTGACACGTCCATCATCGATTGATTGGATGCCAACAAAGATGTTGTCTTTTATAGAACGTCTACAGACAGACATGCCAAATCACTCTGCAATATCGCGTGATGGGTTTTGGAAACATGTTATCTCAGCGTCAGTTCTCGCCTCCGCTACCGATCCTCGAGATATGGTTTACGCTGTGCTCGGCTTGGTTCACAACAGTATCATACCGGATTATAGCAAATCCACCAGGCAAGTTTATCTTGACGCCATATTGAATGACGGAATTAAGGAAACTGTGGGAATCTCTCTACAATTTTCTGGACGTGGCTACAAAATTGAGAACGATGATGAATTTCCTTCGTGGCTGCCAAATCTCCCCAAGATCAGGAATAATTACGATGTTTATTTCCGAGACTTCCGCGTAGACAATAGTCTATTACTTAAGGATATCAGCCTTCGAGAGCCAATGTTGGCTCAGCGAAACATTCTTAACATTCAAGGGGCTGTCTGCGGCAGCGTGGCATACGTATGGCCCATCATAGATCGCTCGAATATAGCAACTGATAATGCGGATTTATTGGCAGAAGAGTTGTACGCCGATATATGTCAAATCTGTATCGATTACCTTTTACTTGGCCTCGAGAATTCTATCTGGACCTTTGGCGATATCACAAGCTCAAGCAACAAACCATTACAGGCTGTACTTGATGTTTTTGATTGGAAACTTGAGAAGTCGATACAAGGAACTACAAATGACTTTATGGAAAGTTGGAAGCGACAACCTCATTCTGGCTTGAATGTATCTCCTAGCATGTGGATATTCATTCTGATTCTCTCAAAACTTGACGACTTACCGGAAGAAAAACAAAAAGAGACAGCAAGACGACTCGGGATTCCTTTCGATCCCAAGCGCCCCAGACTTTCTGCGTTTGTGATATCAAGGTATCTCCTCGATGTTCAAAACACCGGCTATGATAATACGACACGCTCGACCTATACTTTTACTCCAGATTATAATAAATCCAGATACCTACTTTGGTACTGTCTTCGAGGAGGCAGGACGACAATATTCCTGACCGACAAAGGTCATCTAGGTATAGGACCCGAAGACCTACAAACCGGAGATCTTGTTTGTGCCATTGATCAATGCCCACTCCCGGTTTTACTGAGGAAGGGGGAGAAAGCAGAGAACAGAGACTCATTCTTAACTCATATGGGATGCTGTTATATTCGAGGCTTGTCAGATGGAGAGCCGGCTGAGATGGTTAAGAAAGGAGAGCTGGAGATCGAGACGTTCGAAATATGTTGAGAGTTTATGCTTGAACCTTTCAGGGTACGAACCTACATATTCTATTCCAAGCAGGTGGAAAGCAAGATTTTTCTTTTTTTACCAATATTGAACATCAGTCAACGAATAAGAAGTGCTACCCCTATTCAGATACGTACCTAAGTCCCTGTGTACCTGAGCTAGTGTGGGGCACATGTGGACCCATATCGAGCTTCAATTGGTGCATGTCCCCTATTTCCTGACCGCCTTCGTTAATACGAATTACCCCTCAGCCCCTCCCCCTCCATTTACAGGGGTCCGAGTGTTTTATTATATCGAGGCGCAGCCATTGACTTTTTGATGAAAACACCACCTAATAACTTTTCTACGTAGTACCTGAGGACACGCGTTCTGAACTATAACATATCATCTTAGACACTCGCTTTTCCTCAGAAGAATAAATCAAGAAGAAACCGAATAGAGAAAAAAATAAAGACATCATGGCTACTACCGTTCCTCCTTACCCTCCTCTAGAGGACCGCCCGATCAAGAATACGATCGCACTCTTCGATGTCGACGAGACCCTCACCCCAGCCCGTCTCTCTGTCTCCCCCGAGATGCTCCAGACTCTCGAGAAGTTACGACAAAAAGTTGCGATCGGATACGTAGGTGGGTCGAACTTAGTCAAGCAACAGGAACAGTTGGGCACCGGTGACCGACCCGTAACGTCTATGTTCGACTTCTGCTTCAGCGAGAACGGCTTAACAGCTTTCAAGCTAGGCCAAGAGCTACCCTCCAACAGCTTCATCAAGTATATCGGCGAGGACAAGTACAAGGAGCTGGCCAACTGGATCCTGCACTACATCGCGGATCTAGATATCCCGATCAAGCGCGGTACTTTCATAGAGTTCCGCAACGGCATGATCAACGTATCCCCTATTGGCCGTAATGCCAGCACGCAAGAGCGAAACGAATACCAAGCGTATGACATCAAGAACAAGATTCGTGAGACCATGGTGGAGAAGATGAGAGAGAAGTTTGGACATTTGGGTCTGACGTAAGCGCCCATTGCTTTGAATCCCACCAAGAAAAAAAAAGAAAAAAAATGAGGACGAAATTCTAACATGTAAAACCAAAAACAGCTTCTCCATCGGCGGCCAAATCTCCTTCGACGTCTTCCCCACAGGCTGGGACAAGACGTACTGCCTGAAGCACCTAGAAGCCGAAGCCAAGAAGCCCGGCGGCATCCAGTACACGACGGTGCACTTCTTCGGCGACAAGACCGACAAGGGCGGCAACGACTACGAGATCTACGTCGACCCCCGCACCATCGGACACTCCGTCAAGGGACCCGAGGACTGCTTGAAGCAGATCAAAGAGACCTTCGATCTATAGATATGTATCTGCAGATTTTCACATATACACCCACCACAAGCCCAAGAACTAAACCCGAACACCGAGCCGCGAGAAGAATTATCTAAGGAAAAATTAATTTCGTAAAATGGAAGCAAAAAAAGGCCTAATTGAATCTGACCAACAATACTAGTCTAGCAGAGAGTATTGCGTCTACAGATAAAACTGGAATCGAAAAGAAAAAGACCTAACTAGAGAGATAGAAAGCGCCTAGCCGCCTGATGGGTTTAGAAACGTCGTTTATCTCTACATAGCTGCGTAAAAATTCGTCTCGAAAATACCTTCAATAAAAAAAGTCACATAAGGAAAACAATGTCTACCTATCACTCGGTTCTGTTCATGTATAATATATACATACCAATGATTCGAGATCTTAAGTCGTGGTTGGCATAAAATACACACCCCAGCAGGTATCAAGAAGAAACACATCAACACCTTTCATAGGTAACTTTGACTTAATCATTCAGGCATGACTACATCCTACCTCCTACCTAGATACATATACATAATATAAGGTATCCCGTATCCAAGAAGTCAATCACAAAACCCCCAAACCAACAACTAGGCTTGCTTCACTTAGACAGCTACAACATCAACCATTCGTTACGCTATCCCTTCTCTCTGTTCTCACATCTCATAACACAACACACCCTAACCCCCTCATCACCGCCCAAACTCCAAATGCGGCACAATAACCGGCCCATACTTCGTCGGCGCCGTGAACGCGCCATCGCCCTGGACCACAAAATCCACCGCCAAGCTCAAGCGATTCAAGCCGCCGTTTTGGGCCACGGTATTCGGGCCATACGGGGTAGCAGGAACGGCGTCGGGGTCGAACGCGACGACGGCGACGTAATTCCGTCTTCCCATGAGTTTCTTCAACTCGCGCGGGGAGCCCGAGGCGTCGGTGTGGAAGATCTCCATCATGTCCTCTTTGGTGTCGCTGATGTCGCCGGTGCCGTTGCTGTTGCTGCTGCTGTGCGCGGAGGACCGTTGGCCGTTGGGTGGGATGTAGTGCGCGCGGTTGCTGTGGAGCATTTTTAGGATGTACTGTGCGGCGGGGGCGGCGACGATTGGGGAGGTGATTATTTGGAACATTGTTTTGTGGTCGCTTGGGTGTGCGGGGTCGTGGACTACACCGGCGCCGGCGGCGTTGACGTCTGTGGGTTTAGTTAGATATGGCTGGTTTTATTGATTATGGAATGGGGGTGGAATGGGGGAGAGGAAGGGAGTGGGGTTAGAGACGTACCTCCGGACAAGAATGTCATGCGCAAGCCCTTCTGGTGCGAGATGCCTTGCAGCGTGCGGATCAGATACGTCCGCTCAAGATCCTTACTATCGTGTGTCCACATATCCTTCAAGATCTCGCTGATATCCAGGTCGCCAAATTGGTTTACTACGTTGCCCATGAGTCCGGACTTGCCGACGGCCTTTTTGACTTGGCTGAAGCCCTGTGCGACCATCTCCTTACCGCCGACGATGCCCGCTACCGAACTTGTGACTTTGCCCAATACGTTGTACGACATATTGACTGCCTTCTTACCCGTCGCAAACGTGTTAGCTAGGCTCTCTACCGTGTCGAGTCGCGGGTAGACAATAGGCACTGATAGCATCCAGAGGCAGTGCTGTACGCTGGGCGGTAGCATCGCGACTTTAGGGAATAAGCCCTGGTATGTTGGACCCGCGAGCACGCGGTTTTGTGTTCGCTCCGACCGAAGATCAACACCGACCACAACCACGGCAGGACCAAGATATTTGATGAAGTGCCAGCCTTGGCCTGTGACGGTGAACAAATCCAGATCATGACTGACGTTTCGGAGGACCTCCAGTGTGGTGTGGTGCTGGAAGAGTAAGTACATGTCCACAGCTATCCGGCCGATATTCTTGAACATCTGCGAGTTTTGCATGTAATCGGGATATGAGCCGTAGCCGTCAAAGCTGAGAGAAAGTCAGTAACGCCTTTACGGTATGAAACTTATACTATTGCAATGATTAAAAACTTACATGTCGTGGTCATCGATTTGACAGACGTGAGGAATCTGCGCAAACGCCTCACGAAGGAACGGCTGGTCGAAATGACTAGTATAGAAGTGGAAGTAAGCGTGCGATACGTCCTCTTCATGACGCGCCGTCCACGAAGCATTCTTTCTATTATCTTTACCCGGCATAGCAAGCCACTGTTTTAAGAGTGGTACTTCTTTCCATAGCCGGTCCCCGTAGATCTGATCGCCCAAGCCGAGCTGGACGTGGAAACCGCCGCAGTCAACATTCTTCTGCAGCACATCCTTCCACATAAATCCAAGCCCGCCAAGTTTGCTGCGCTCATTTTGATTCGTGCTTGCGGCGAAGTCGTTTCCAGAATGCGCGATAAAGCGCCAGTTAGTCTCGCTTCGACCTGCGACTACGAATTCGTATCTAGTGCAGCCGAGGTGCGAGGTGACGGCGTAAGTCCATCTTTCCGTACCAGTTTCGCCCATCTGCAATTCGACATCATATTTAAAGAATTGCCACCTTTGATGCGTGTATATAGAGCGAGCTGTTAGTTGGCGAGGATTTGGTGATAGATCGGTACTGAGATGGATGTGGATAGTGGGCGGCTGAGGAGAATCTGTGACTATGAGAATACTTCCCAGCCACATTCCCTTCTCGATGTCCATATTCGTGTATCTCAGATAAGGTCCGAAGTAGACACCATTTGTCGGCTGGACCTTGTACATGTCCACGCCGACACCAGGAGGACCTGTAAAACCAGCAGCGGTTGGCGTCGCCGTTGCAACACTCATAATACTCTCAGCATAACCCGGAGTTTGCGGTGGGAACATAGGCGAGGCCATCGCACTCTGTTTGCCAAACATAGGCGAAGCGAGAGGGTTGCCATACGTTGACGCCGTGGGAGATAGTGGCGCAGTTTCATGGTGAATAGGGTTTGGTCCCTTAGGGAACTCCCATTGCGTAGCTTGCGTGGCTAAGTGGATATAATAGTACTGACCGGAATTCTGGTCAAGATGGGCAATCCAACCCTCTGGTAACGGTGGCGGCGAAGTAGGACCTTGGCCTTGGAATGGAGATGGGGTATGGGTAACTACTTGCGCTTGCACTTGCTGGCTGCTCTGTTGAGATTCGGGTCTCGGATCATTGGCAAACGCAGGGTGCCCGGGATGTTGCAGGGCCGGAGACGCAAGTGCGGCTGCTATCTCGGCTTGCTTCTTCGGTGGAGATGCCGCGGATGATGACTGTGCAGCTTGAGCCGGTGCCGGTGCCGGGGTTGAACTTGAACTCGGCTGGGCCGGCCGTTGCTTCTCGTTGGGATATGCCGAGGAGCTTCCACCAGGGTTGATACTGGAATATGCGGGCGGAGGGCTAGGTGACATCTGCATTCTCTGGAAGTCTTGTTCCAACACGCTGATCTGAAGAGCAGGCCCGCCATTTTCGTTTCCATTGGCGTTATTGTTATTGTTAGTAGTTGTGTTTGTATTAGCGTTTGGCGGTCGCGCTGCCTGAGCACTGAACGTCGATGCTGTAGGACTTGCGACAGGGTTTGCTCCCTGGTAAACCGTGGGAGGTCCATGCGGTTGTTGTTCGGGAGTTTCCGTCGGCGTCCACGGACGAGGTGCTTGCTGTGTAGCTGGGTGTTGGCCATATTGCGCTAGCCGTTGGGTCGCCGCTGAGCTCTGAAGACTATTCAGTGTTGCAGTTCCAGATATACCAGCGGCCGCATATCTGGCCTCGATACTTCCTCCTGGGATAGTACCTGGCTCAACGATAGGCGTCTCTGGCGGAGGAGGGGATCCTCGGCTTGCTCTTGTAGTGGATGTAGAAGCTGTGGAGGCAAAACGATTCACCCCACTATCCGCGGGCATCTTGAGGTAACTATCTTCATTCACCGGAGGCCGCACATTATTGTTCGAGCTTGAGCCCGAAGCTGCCGAACTGCCTCTAGGTGGAGGGTAATAGGGCTTCTGATGATAGTTGGGGAAAGATGTACTAGAAGAAGCAGCCGCCGGTTTTGGTTGGTTAACAAGCGGTTTCGCAAATAGGCCGCCGTCGTCTCCAGGGGGACTAGCAGGACTAAGCGCTCCTGGCAAAGGTTTAAAACCGGCACCACGTCGTTCTGCAAGACCAGGCCCTTTCTTTTCAACAGGACTTGAATCTAATCGCGGGGTCGTGTCGTTAAAGCTATCTGAGTGTGTAGAGCTCACAGGACTTATGTATATCTTGTTACCAGACGGCCGACGTTGATCGGATGGGTAAGGAGGTCGACTTGACTGGGCAACTGGCTGAGCTATCTGGTGGTCGTCATCATCGGGGTACGGTAGAGGCGCAGCAGAGCTAGAGGCGCCTGGCGGCAGCGGAAAACTCGGCTTCGAAGATGCCGGGGCGGGATATTTGAATCTATCGGAGGCAGGCTTAGGGCTCTGGGGTTTGAATATCCTCAGAGGTTCGACGGTAGGGCTGTCGCAATCCTCGGCAGGCTTGCTGAGGAACATCTCCTCATCAGGCCTTCCATGACGATCCATCCTGTTTCACGTACTCTGCCGTTCGCGGATCGCAAGGCAACCGACAGGCGCAAAGGTACTAGCAGTAGACGCGGGATGACGCAGGGAAATGTGAGGAAAAGTTATTTATAGGCGCTTTGCGACAGCTAGGCCTTAAAGATGTATGCGACGAAATGATCTTATCGCAACTAGGTGAGGGGTTACAATGATTGGCTTTTGAGTGAAGTTGTGAAGCCGAAGCTGATGAATTCAACCAACAAAATGGAAGCAAATAGGATACACGACACGGAATACAGATACGAGCAGGTGAAACGAGTTCAAGAAAGAACAAGATGGATTCGAAGAGGTCTATGATATGCGACCACACGGCTATGGAGGGGGAAGCAACCTTGTCCGTAGGTTCGGTGGGCTCACCAAGCTTGGCGGGTTGGAGGACAGGCCAGATGATTGGTCGCTTATAAGCAGGCGCTTAAAGAATAGGGAAATATGGGTGAAGCAGATGGCATTTCCAAGCGCCCAATCAGCCCGACGCTTGGTGTAGTACGCGAATTATACTGGCTCCCTCACATGAACGAGCGTATTTCTCTGGCTGGCTAACTTTGCCGGTTTTCCTTGATAGCGCTCAAGCTGCCAACGAATAACTCAAGTGGTCCATCTAGCCCCTATGATCGCTTGGTTGTCAAGCACGAGTTATTTCGTATCCCCTGAGACGATGAGGATATGATGAGATTTTATACTCCATTTTGCCCCCTCGACGTTAGGCACTGATGGATGATATTCATCGCAGCGCGCAACAGTGAGCCTACAGTTTTTAGTTGAAAGCCCAGAAGACCCAAGAACGTGACAGGGGTTTGGGACGGATATTCGCACCATCACTCATTGAGTACCTAGAAGGATCCATATCTTTTTCATCATAGCCGGGACATGGGACCTAGCTCGAGCGGCTATTGATCCAAACTTCGCAATCGCATACATTTGATGTATACATACATTGGATGCGATGAGCATGATCAGATGTGCATGCACTATGCACGGCTGTCGAAAATCCTTCCCGTCTCATGGGAATGTGTCCGAGCCTTCACGTTATAAATAATAACGTTACGGGAAGCCCCGCCATGCTAGTATCCCAATCCCTTGTAATAGGGCTACGCTACATTTGATATGGCGAGAATAGTTGATGCTTGAACTGACTTGACTTCGCTATTTTCGACTTCGCTCAATCCGCTCAGTCTTTGCTGCCCATTTGCTATTTTCAGCTTGGCTGATAAGCCCTATCAATTTCCGATCTCGAACTGGTTACGTAGCGTCGAAGGAGCCTATTACCCTATTAAAGATATCCATCGATGTATGTATCCGTCCTTTCATCTTGTTATCTTCGGGTACTAGCACCTGCATATGAGGCGGCTTTGGTGGCGTACAAGACTCAAGGATATGACCCCTTTATTTTTGACTGATACCTATCGCGAGTCTAGATTGTAAAAGCACCAGGCAATTTAGTAGAGAGAACATATAATTGAATGGCAAGATCACAGAATGGGAATCCTTTGCCTTGGCTTAAGAATAGAATTGTTGGTCGCGTTGAATTATTGAAGTTGACACAAGTACAGAATAGAGTACTAGGTTGATAAGAAAGAGTCAATAAATGGTATGCATGTTTTACCTGCCCAGCCACCCCTAAACCTAAAAATTAAAGCAATAACCACCTGGACATATTGCAAAAGCAAGTGCGGGTGGATGTGGGTAGAATCAGTAGATTTCCCAGAAAATCCATTGATAAACCCATTGCTCCTACCCATTTCCATCATAAACACATTTAGATATGAAGTCGTCGCAAACCTACCTAGCACTAATGATTCAGCCTCAAAGCCAAGCTAAGAAAACGCCACTCACAAAGAACAATAGCATTGTTCGGATTCTTCACTTCGGTCGCGAACTCTCGGCTTCGGGAACGAAGGAAGCCGTGACCCCACTCGGAGGCGACTTTCCAACGCGGCGCCGTGACCAAAAAACCACGAATCCCATCGGTTGCCTACAGCATAGCGATGTTGCCTACAGCATATTAACTATGACTCTTATTACTTTCAACCTTATGATTCAAGACCACACCTACACAACCCAAAATGTCGGATCCGACTATGGTTCGTAGTACCCCGATCGGGGTTCGGACGTTAAATATTCGACCAATCAGAACGCATCCCGTACACTTGATCGATTGATTTAGTGTGTCAGGACGCGTGGCGACCTTCTAGATCGCCCGTTCGATATAGGCGATATAGCTAGGCAGCACCTTCTAAACCGTTCTGCCCTATTCGAGCTTGTGGTAAGGCACGTCGTAGAGGCTGGAGTGTTGCGTTAGTCATTTGCCATCACACGACAACCGTTACGCATCTGCGCATTCCCGTCTGTAGCCTTGAGTCTTCCGCTTGTCAGGCTACGTCTACGAAATGTATATATAAGCCACATAGTTAGACCAATCTTATAACAATCGAACTTGACTTCTTCACCATCAACACTTTCACCAAACAATCACTAGATCATCATACCATTTCAATTTACTAGCTAAGTATTCAACATGGCAAACACCAACAACAATAACAACAATCCACCACCCCCTGGATGGGACTACGAGCAATCATTCGGACCTCATGCATTCATGAGAGCTGGCGCTGGAGTCGACCACGCTAGCACCGGAGCCAGCTTCGGGCATGGGTTCCCATTCAACAACGCTCAAACTTGGCCCGGCCAGGAGTGGGCTCGCTCGTCTGGACCCTGGAATGGATGGCATTGGGGGCCCGGGTGGCACGGCGGCGGACATGACGAACACAATTTTGGAAATTATCGTGAGGTCCCTACATCCGATAGAGAGGAAGGCGACCACGACCACGACCACAAGGACGATGATGGGATGGAGAGTTCTCCCGAAACCATGAGAAACACTCCGGATGAGTCCGTCAACAGTGATGCACCACATCCACCAACTCCGGGAGCTTTCCCTCACCCTCGCCCGCCGCCTCCCGCAGGCGCTCCTCAGCACCCGCCTCACCCAGCTCATCCGCCTCACCCTCCCCACCCATTCTTCCACGGCCACCCACGCCCCTTCGGTGGTCCTCACCGCGGACGAGGCGGACGATTCGGCCGTCGGGGAGGTCGCGGCGGTCCCCCTCCTCCACCACCAAGCTACAGCGGCCCTTGGGACTTCCGACCCTTGATGCACGCCTTCGCGACCCACCCCTTCGCCGAGGCATTCAAGGACTACATGGAGCAGGCGCGCGAAGGCCTATCGCACGAGTCCAACGAGCAACAGGACAACGCCTTTGTCCCACCCGTCGACGTCTTCAATACGGAGAAAGCGTACATCCTACACGTGTCACTCCCAGGCGCGAAGAAGGAAGACGTGGGTGTCAACTGGGACGGCGACAAGGTCAACATCGCCGGCGTCATCTACCGTCCCGGCGACGAGGCGTTCATCAGCTGCTTGGCTTCTAGCGAGAGGAAGGTCGGTTTGTTCGAGCGCAGCATCAAGCTACCCCCTCCCGGAAGCAGCGAGAAGGAAGAGATTGATGGTGCGGGCATCACGGCGAAGATGGAGAATGGTATTCTCATCGTGACGGTACCTAAGACTGAGAGGGACTGGACTCAGATTCACAAGGTCGACATTGAGTAAATCCGGGTTTCCGGATTGAAAGGGCATGGGTGGTTGTGAATATATAGGTATGGAGGATTGAGGATATCCTGGTGATTTGGTATGGCAGGAGTAAGGTGTTCAAGGAGTTACATATAAATAAGCCCCCATCAAACCAATAAAAAATTGCGTCCAAAATAACTAAGCATCGTCCCATGTCGCTAGATCGAATTCGATATGTCTTGTGATATGTATCAATAATTTGTTTCAACTTGTCATTTGTGTTCACCTTGATACTCACCTATTAGAGATTTGGCATTCCACTTCGTAACTCTAGAACGGTCTCAATGAGAAGGGATGTCTGTCTGTCTTTCTATACTCATACCGCGATGTCTTTCGTAGCTATGACGTCTGTGTCGAGTTCTTGCATAACTTCAAGAACTAGGTTCAGGCTGTCCATGAAGGAGTTGACAGCTACACGAAGCATCCTATTCGTTGTGGCTTTATACTCAATCTGCAATATGTTTCCTACTATATCTCCGTTGGCGGTATTATTATTTGAGTTACCAATAGAAAAGTGTCGCTGTACTAGCGGAGACAGTTCTTTGTCAACTTGCAATGCCTTCAGAGCGATGGATGCTAGTCGAGGTGTTGGGAATGGCACCTCAATATTCCTAAGGAGGGAGTAGTGTTAGCATCATGATTGCTCAGTGAGTGGCTGCAAACGTCGACGTACAACATGCAGGGGAACTGTGTATCTTTCGTTGTCGCCATGGTATTTGTTGTCAATTGTTGTCAGTTGTTGTCTTTTCGCAAGCGAGTTCAGGGCTGTGTTGTGTTTACGAATAGATAGATCGGAATGCGAATTGCGTAATGAGAAAATATTGAGGTTCCACGGTTTCAACCTAGAGCCTCTGCGGGGGACGGAAAAGAGGGAGGGGTAACGGTAACCAGGTATTTTTTATTCCGAATTGCCAAGCGCCGATAAGATAAAGTTGACTGGACAGGACGGTTGGAATTCAGCTGAGGCTTAGGAGGTCGAGGTTTCAGCCACTTATGTAATGTGGATCTTTTGCGGTTGCTAAGCAACGGGATGATCCACAAACATGACAGGGTTATGGGCCATGTCGTTCATGCCCTTAACCGAATTAGGTAAAATGTCAAATGAGACCGCTATGGCCTTTGCTTTCTTTGCTTTCCTTCTTACCCCAACAATAACAATCAAATAGGAAAATAATAATACGGCATCTGATACAAAAAACATCGTCTCCTTGAAAAAGGCTTCATGTTTTGATGATCTACAACATCTACTTTTTTTCAACCCTTTTCCTCCATTACTACTAGTACTCGGTACGGCTCTCTCTTTTGCTTTGCATTGCATCGTCTACTTCTATTACATTACAACTTCGCTTGTCATTCAAATAGATTGTTAATGTGTGAATGAATTCGGTTGATTATTTTATTCATATCCATATCCATTTCACTCTTTATACCGGAATACCGCCAGTCGATCCTTCTAGGTAGTATATCACCAGACATACACTATACACCTAAAGCCTCGACTCGACCGCCAACCTCGGAAGTCCAATCAAAAGGCCTGCCTTTGTTTATGCAGAGCCATTGAAGCTTCCTTAACTCGTTCGGGTCCCGATTGACAACGTCTTCGAAGGGTTCTTGAACGAGCAACGACATCGCATTAGAAGTAGGAGCCTTGATAGCAAAAGCCGCTAAGATGGGACCTTCTTCGAGAAATTCCAACTCTGGCCAGGTCATTGAGTACATTCCAGGTAAGCCATTTTATCCTCACCGTCCTTTTCGTGGACGACATCGATAATAGCTTAATAACTTGTACCCTCATAATTCGCCTTACCCTCAATCATCATCATCATCGTCATCATCATTCTCCTAATCTCGCTTGCTTCTTTTTTCTTTTTATGTCCTCTGACTACTTGCGCCTCCCCAATGACGCAAACCAAGTTGAGATGTTCCATGTCTGCTGGAATCTCTCATAGCCCCCTTCATCATCCATCTTTACTACTTAATTCGGAAGCATTTCCAGTTACATTGCTTACAATTGCAGACCGCCTATACCTAGCATCCTACCTTCACCCTCCTAACGCCGACACCGTCTTCCCGTACCACGACCCGCCACCTCAGTCACCAAGGAAGAGATCACAGAGGGCAGTAGATGGCCCTGCGCCCGCTCCCTCCAAGTCTGAACGACACCCTCCATACTACTTTACTGTCGACGACACTCTCCTCTACAACGCATTCCACCACGATTTTGGCCCGCTTCACATTGGTCACCTTTACCGCTTTGCTCTACACTTTCACGATGTCCTCGGTGCTAAGGAAAACCAACACAGACCGATTGTGTTTTATAGCCGAGCAGACCCAAGAAGTAGGTTTACCGACATTTCAACTTTGAGACATTTATAATAGTTGCTGACAATTTCGGACAGGTCGAGCAAATGCCGCATGTTTACTAGCGTGCTACATGGTCCTAATCCAGTCCTGGCCACCTCACTTGGCCCTAGCGCCCATTGCCCAGGTTGATCCACCCCTGATGCCTTTCCGCGATGCTGGTTATAGTCAGGCCGACTATGGTATCACTGTTCAGGACATCGTATACGGTGTCTGGAAAGCCAAGGAAGAAGGTGTCTGTGTCTTGGACAACTTCGACCTTGACGAGTACGAGAGATTCGAACGAGTTGAACATGGTGATTTCAACTGGATTACGCCTAATTTCCTGGCATTCGCCTCGCCGCAAAGCACTCAGACGACACGAATCACCGAGTCTTCCGAATTATATGCTACACTGCCTAAGACGCTGTCTGCTGTAGACGCTCATCCAACCCTCTCACAACCATTCAAGAATGTATTGAGACATTTCTCCGAGCGCAACATCGGCTTGGTCGTGCGTCTTAACTCTCCCCTTTACTCTCCCTCGTACTTTGAGGCGCTAGGGATACAACACCTCGACATGATATTTGAGGATGGCACTTGCCCACCGCTAAGTACTGTCCGAAAATTCATCAAGCTTGCCCACGAGACGATCACGGTGAAGAAGAAGGGGATTGCTGTCCACTGCAAAGCTGGTCTTGGAAGAACTGGATGTTTGATCGGAGCTTATCTGATTTACCGCCATGGTTTCACGGCGAACGAAATCATTTCGTTCATGCGATTCATGCGTCCAGGCATGGTTGTAGGTCCTCAGCAACATTGGCTACATATCAACCAAGGAGTATTCCGAGAATGGTGGATTGAGGAGAGGCTGGAGAGGAAGCTGCGAAAGGAGATGGCTGCGAACGTGCCTCCCAGCACACCCATCCGCGCAATGCAGAAGGCCAATCTAAACCGAAGTGCTCAGGCCTCAACTCCTCCAAGCCGAAGCCCATCAAACCGTACGCCTCTTGGCGATCTAGACGGTGAACGCCGTAACGCCGGCGTGCAAGAAGATTATTTACCAGCACCAACACCAGGCCAACCTCGAAAGACCAGTCGCGCCGACCGTCATCATCCGTACCACCGAAGCACATCTCACCATCCCACAGTCGAGGAGGAACAAGAAGCCGCGAGCAAGAACGCAGATGCTACCTCCACCCACGGCAGGCGATCTAATGATAGCATTGACTCGGAGGAGGAATTATATCTGCGTATGCGATCTAATCGCAAGGCATCTCGTACACCAGCAGCCTGCAGCGAAACGATCCGATCCGTCAGTCAGAGCACGACTACAACGATCTATCAGGTTATCGACAACGACGCTTCTAATGACGCCGAAAATGTTGGCCATGGTCGCCCGAAGACCATTGTAGATCACGTCACTGGTTCGCCAACACGCTCAGCTAGCGCTTCTGGCGTGATGACCAAGGTCAGGAGCAGCAAGCGATCAACCGAGTCATCCCGAAACAAGGATTCCATGGGTGTGCGAAAGACCAGTGGTCGAATTGGTAGCATTGGTACCAACAACACTGCCAACTCGGCGCGTAAGGTTTCCGCATTATAGGATAATGAGGTCTTACGGCGGCCAAATTGAGTATCGATGACTGTTCCGAATTATGCTGCAATATCTCATGGCTTATCCAACGATGATCAAACTTCTGCGGGCAGCTAATTTTTTCACGATGACGACTATGACGACCGAATCATGGTTCTTTTGCATATGCGTTTGGCGTTTGGTATCAATAAGAGGTACATGGACTTCGCCCCAATCAATTCAAATATAATGGATCCGACTTCCCTCTCTTCGCATCTGCTCCTCGATGATTCTTCCTCTTTGAAGAAAAAGTACCCAGCTGGGCTACCTTGGTTGCTTATGTTCGTTCATACCAACCGGCTTTTCCCACATAACTATTTTTGAATGACTCGGGCGTTGTGGTTCTTCTGTTTTGGGGTCAGTGATTCGGAAAGGGCATTGTTGCATATTTTAATCCGGGCCGGTTTTTTCGCCGAGTTATGTGTCCATTCTAAACTGACGTCGAGCTGGATGGAGGATGCGAGCTGAGAGAGAGAGCCTTGGAGTAACGAGGGGAGTTTCTCGTTGAAGTATCACTGCTTGGTTGTGTTTGTTTTTTAGATCAATACGCGTTATATGATGAATCATTTCTTCATTTTGCTTGTTCCCCCGTTCGCTTTAATGTTTAATAATGTAATACGTGATGTGGATGATGGTAAAATTCATGGATCTTCAGCGGCTCTGGCGAGTGGACTGATTTACCTCGCTTTTCCTTGGTGACGGTGAAGCGATCGGCGTTCTTCGATCGATCTTATTCGACCTCCTCCGGCCAGTTCCTTGTCCGGTCTTCGTCATATCATGGATGTCTCCAAGAACACCATTCGTATCACTAGCATGAAGAGGAGTCACTCACAGTTCCTTCAGCCCGAAGCCCTCTCCAATTCTGAGTCCTAGCTCGAATCCGATCCTAGATCAGATGGAGAATTGTTTTAGCGCCCACTTTCACCTTACATTTGCTGTCCCGGCTTTGCGAACATATCAATCACAGATTCCCCAAAACAGGGCATCTTGAAACCGGTTATGGAATAGTCAGTTCTCGGATGCCTGTCTCCCGCATCACCGAAGATCATGGCCTCAACCACGCAAATTTCCCCGGGAAGTGTCTCTCGCTTGGCTGAATCCCCCGCTGCGCGTTGCTACTGTAGCATTGTGGAGGCTTGTTCCTACGGCTTCTGTTCACCTACATACATGTCTACCTATCTACTTACCTAACACTCGTCCAGCTCACCATACATATATACCTAGGTAGGTACATACATGGATGCTTAAGTATGTATGTATGTATGTAGGCTTTACGGCTTCCAGTAACGTTCCAGCAATAGAGAAGGGCTACTGCCGTGTCACTCCTGCATGCAAATCTTCGTGTGATCATGTGGCGTTTCTCCTGACTAGACGGGCTAGACTTAACTAACTAACTGACTGACTGTGACGGGAACCGAGGCATTTTTCTCCGAGCTGGACGAGGTTCTTTAGATGAACATTTATAACGAGGGTTACCGGAGGCATTCTAGCCGGGCAGTTTAGTCGGCGTTTCCACGAGGACGTAGAGTAAAGCAGTTCTTCGAGGCCGTAATACTCGAACACCTAGGTACCTGGGCTTCGAGGAACTACTTCTAAGTGCTTTACTCTAGTCCTACCATCGTTTTGCCATGGAAGAAGGGCAATTAGCAGACCCGCCCAAGGGTCGGCGGGGTATCGCCATGAATAAACTCCACGCTGTTAGGAAGAGGATCAAGCCGTGGTATATATACGCGCTCATAGCGACGGCGATAGTTACGCTCGTCGTGGTGCTTTCAACTGTGCTAGTCGCTCGACGGAATCATGAGTGGTTTATTCAGAAAGTCTTGCATGATAAGATGGTATTCTCTCTTCCCCTCTCATAAAATTCCTGACTTTCTCCGTGTTCAAACTTCTCCGCTGGGAAACACCAACGCTAACAACCGATCGTAGACCGCGTCTAATCCGGGTACTGCCCGAGTGAATCTCGGCTATGCGCAATACCAGGGCTCACTTGTTGGTAATGAGGGCAGTGTGGCCCAATTCCTCGGGATGCGGTATGCGGCGCCGCCGACGGGGGACCGTAGATGGCGGGCGCCGGTCGAGCCTGAGACGGAGGATTCGGGGGACCAAGCGGCAGATACTGTATGTTTTATTCTCGATATCTTATATTCGTACCCTATCGTTCTTGATCGCCGTGTGCCTTTACTATTATTCCCGTAATAATAGAAATCCCGCCCCTTTCTTTCTTTCTTTCTTTCTTTTTTTTAAAAAAGAGTAAAGCGCAAGTGAGCTAGAAAAGAGAGAGAAACACACCAGCTAACACAACCATACCACATAGTTCGGCCCCATCTGTCTAGGTCGCGGATCCCCATACCCAAACAGCAAGCAAGACGAAGACTGTCTATACGCGAACGTATGGGCACCAGCGAACGCAACAGTAGACTCCAAACTGCCCGTATGGCTATTCATCCAAGGCGGCGGTATGTATTTCCCTCCCCTTCCCCTTCCCCTTCCTCTTCTCCCCTTTATTCACTACCTAGGTAACCACTAACCCCACCGCAGGCTACAACACCAACAGCAACGCGAACTGGAACGGGACCTATCTCCTCTCACAATCGAACAACAGCATCGTATTCGTGAACTTCAACTACCGCGTCGGGCTATGGGGATTCCTCGCGACGCAAAACCTGCTCGCGCCCGGAGCCGGGGACCTTAACGTCGGGTTGCGCGACCAAATCGCGATGTTGCGGTGGGTGCGGGAGCACATCGCGCAATTCGGAGGCGACCCGTCACATGTCGTGATCACGGGGACATCGGCGGGAGCCGGGAGCGTAGCGCTGCATTTACTGATGGCGTACGGGGAGCACGGGGAGGGGAGTTACGGCAGCTACGGGAGCTACGGGAACACCAGCTACCCCAGCGACGCCGGGGACACGGAGGGTACCGATCTCTTCGTCGGTGGGGTGGGTGAGTCCGTGTTTTTCCCATGGCAGCCACCTCTCGCCGATCTAGAATGGCAGTACGATTTACTCCTCAACCAAACCGGATGCGGCACGCAATCCGCCTCTGACCCATTAACCTGTCTCCGCGGCCTCCCAACAGAAACTCTCCAACCGCTTAACACAGCATCCCCGTACCCCGGGCGCCCTAACTCTCCCCTCCCCCTCTTCTACTGGACCCCCTGCATAGACGGGACCCTCCTCCGGGACCTGCCCTACACCCTCTTCTCACGAGGCGAATTCCTCTCCGTGCCAGTAATAATGGGCACAACAACCAACGAAGGCGCCTCCTTCGCAACCAACACGTCCACAGCCGACGCCTTCGGGGTTTTCATGCAGAACAACTACCCGCACCTAACCACCGCCCAAACCAGCTCCATCATCGCGCAATACCCGCAAGCGCAACAAGCCCCGCAAGCGCAACAAGCCCCGCTCCCAAACCACGCGGCGTGGTTTCCGTCAACGGCAGCTGCGTACGGGGACACTACGTTCATCTGTCCGGCGAACCACATTTTGGCATCGTACACACACGCACCCGTACCTCCCTTCAACGCGGGTGGGGTGAACGGGAGTCAGGTCTGGGGCTACCGATACGATGTATCAGACCCGACGAACGCCGCAGCCGGGGTCGGGGTGCCGCATATATGGGAGTCGTGGGCGGTATACGGACCTGACGCACTGAACGGGGTTGGCGGGGGGCCCGCGAGTTACTATTACCCCGCCGGCGTGGCAGCGGGGGTTGTGAAGCCGGTGCAGGATTACTGGATTTCGTTTGTGCGGACATTGGATCCAAATGCGGAGAGGAGTGTTGGGGCGCCGGTGTGGGAGGCGTGGAGTGCTGGTGTGAATGGGACTAGCGACGGAGGGCAAAGGCTGCTGTTCCAGGCGGAGGGGTTCACGATGGAGCCTGTGGCGGCGGATTTGCAGGAGCGGTGTGATTTCTGGAGGGGGCTTGTTCCTGCGACGCAGCAGTGAGGGGGATCTTGACTTACCTACATTTGGATATAAAGCGTTGTTCAGAGATATGGGACGTATCTACGGAAATATCTAAGCAGCTATATAGGATACATATGACGACGAAATGATTCTTCATAGATGATTGACAGATCCTATTGTTTTATCCGTATTTGAACCCTAACTTCCATCAGCTTTTCTCCCCCATCTACTCTCCAATATCACCACCATATCCAACTTCCGCGCCTCGGAGTCCCACAGCGACCTACACGGAATAATTGCCCCCTTCCCTTGCAAAGACTCCGTCTCGCCAAGTAGGTCGAAGGACTCGGAATTGATGTACGTAAGCTTTGGGTTTACCTCAATAAAACCCAGCTGTGAACGATCGCTCGTCTGTAGGATCTGGCCTACCACCCTTAACATATGCTGCGTTCCGCGCACACCAATTCCACTCCCAGCCGCATCGCTATCTTGGTACGCCGCGACGGTCTGAACGAACACATCTCCGGAAGGCGACTCAACAACGACACTATGCATTGCCGTACGCTGGTCTTTGTCTGAGCCATGAGACGAGTACAGCCGTACATCTCCAAAACCCACGTTCGCAAACCCAAGATGCGCATGCCACTCGACACCAGCAGCCCTTGGTAACTCCTCAACCTCAGCAGAAAAGACAAAAGGCAATGCTCTCTGCGACAAACCCCCTTCAGAATAATCGTCGGCGTCAAAGTCCTTCAGCACCTCCCAATCCGGAAGCCCCGGCTTTGCGGCACCGACGTCATTGCCGCCGCCATAAGTCATGTACAAGGGGTTATATTTCCGATCCCACAGATCCGGGCCCTCTTCCGCATCACTTGAGGCAGAAGAAGGTACTGCGTGCGCGGCTTTCCAGGCACTTGCAGCCAGCAGAGCGCAGTGTTTCGCGTGGGGGGTAGAAGGCGAGCGGGGGAAATACGCCACGGCGCTACTCCACCATTGAACCTGCATCTCGGCGCCGACACGCCAGAGGTGTTGCAGCGCCAGAGTGACTTGTAGTCGGAGATTATCATCGCCGTCTGGTGGCACAGAGGGTAAGCTCATAGATGCAGGTACTAGAGGAATCTGACCTGCAATAGATACTGCAAGGGGCAAATTCGAATTTACGTCATTATCCCTATTTTTGTCTTCATCAATTGTGAGGAGCGGGTATGTAATGGCTTGACTATAAGGGCCGATGTTGGCGGGCGCCCAGTAAGACCGAGACTGTACGTGTAGGCCGCGCCTATCTCCCTGCTTCATCCGAGGTTGCACCGTGAGAAGAATAGATATATCAGCACCTTGAGGCGTCAAGAGGTCGCCACAGGATATAGTGACTCGGGCCGGCGGATTTGGCTCTCGGAACAATGCCCCGTAAAGCCTATTAACAGTCGGGAAGTCCGACATACGCCGTAGAACAATGATGGTGTTGGTAATAGCAGTTGTTGGTAATGAATATTCGTGTAACTGTTGGCGTACCTCGTCCACAATTTGGGCTGTCTGGGCTTCAATGTTTCCTGGACGCCCAACAAAGTACCAGTCTTGGCTAATAGAGTTGGTAAGCTTGAGAGAAAGGGGAGATGGCTGCTGGCCAATTTCGTGTAGGCTGATGGTACAATGCTCGTATCCCAAAGATTTGCTGTGCAGCAAATCGAGTGCATCCTTGAACTTCGGATCAAGAAGGTTCGGAATACGGACGTTTTGGTCCTCTGTCTTAGAAGTTATATCTGTACCTAGCTTCATCTCAACTTGGGCTTCACGAACATTCAACCAGGCACTACCACCGCCCTCACGTACAACTCTCTTGTCATCATCGCGTATAACGATGCGACCCTTAAAAAGCACTGGCGGTCCATCTACAACAAGAGTCTCGAACTCGCCTCCTTCGCCGAGCACGGCGCCGCGTCCGCCGTCGCCGCCGAAGCGCCGAAGTGCTCGGCGGATACGTGATATGCCAGTATCGCTAGCCACATTTTCCCATAGAAACTCTTCTCCCAAACCAGCGCTAGCCACCTTCACTATACGGGCCACCAGCCCTGCGGCAGCCATGTCGCGAAGTAACTGCGCATCATCGGTATCTGCAGGCTGAAGAGTAGATGTGGAGAAAGTAGAAGTAGTAGCGGCGGCGGAAGAAAGCGGAAGGTCAGGGAATTGCCAAAGGAACGCCAGCGGAATTAAGCCGAGACGCAAGGCGACGGACTCGACGCGGGTTCGTTGGTACGTCGATAGTATTGCGCCCGTGCACAGGGCATTAACCTCCGGGTGAGCCTTGAGGACGGCATGAAGAAGCGGGACTAGGGACTCCGTTTCGTCCTCTTCCTGGTGGCCATCGGGGTGCTTGTAACTTATGCCACTATCTACGGCGGTACCAAGGATAGCCCGGCGAAATAGAGGCAGCCCTGTGGCTTGGGCATAAAGAGGGATCACCTGGTGGCCCACGGTCTGGTACATGAAACTATTCAAGTCGATCTCATCGTCATCTTGGCTGTTATTGTCAGCTCTTAGTCCCAAGAGTGAACCGTGCTGATGTTGGGCAACCGTAATATCGCTGGGGGAGATCCGTATGGCAGCAAGATCGTTGATAGCGTTGTCAACCTCGGCCCTAGATCCATCTTCATCTCCAGATCTGACAGTAGCTCGTGTACTAGTACTGGCAACTCTAGGCGGCGGCGGATGGAGATTAGCCAGTGCTATGACGCGATGCCCATTAGCCAGGCAGTGGAGAATGGAGTAGAAGCTATCTTTTCCTCCAGATACCAAGGCGACAACGTTTAGAGGATCGTCAGCTGCCATGGGTCTTTGTGACTGTCAGAATGTGACAGGTAGAAATTTCGGAGAAATAACAAGAGGCCAAATAGTGCGACACCCTAATGACGAGTCATCGTTCTCTGGTAGGTCGGCTTTGTCGCAACTGTCACAGTTCCAATAAGGCCAAGGGCCAATTGCCTCACTTTTCACTTTTTCTTCTCGCCAGGTATATCTCAGCTGATCTCGGTGGTTTGTTCCGTAGTATGAGATATTTCAAGTAGTGCTCGTGCACGGCGAGCTATCGTTCAGCTACTAGTGAATACGTAGTTAGGCATACCTAAAGCTATAGATATCTCCAATTAGGAATCCGATCAAGCGAATTGTGATGTTGATAGCTCATAAAACGGCGTTGGCTTGGCGGGGTTCCGGATGATCGAAAACAGCCTGACGGACGGCTAGGGCTCTGGTAGGTAAGGACTAGCTGTTACAGCTAGAGACCGTCAAATAATTAGGTAGAAACACGACCGTCCTAGTACGATTTAGCGAATGATTACAGGTGGAGGCTTTTAAAAGTTGCGCCTTTACGTCCGTTAGGTACTAGGTAGTGGTAGGTAGGCATCTAGGTTGGTAAGGTAGATCTTCTTTTGGAGATGTTTCGAAAATGGAGACATTAAAAAATAGGTACCTACAAAAGGTATGGAATGTGATCCACAAGTTGGCTAGATAAGGCGATAATTAGATTGTAATGACGTAAAATAGTAAAGTCGAAGGCAGTCGCACCTGTTCGGGTGCTGTTGAGGCACCTTATTCTTCTAGGTAGTTGCATAGGTACATACCTAGCTGGGTAGGTAGGTACCTATATCCGTCCGGGGATATCTCTATACACCATATGAATGCACTAGAAGGCAACTAGTAGGTAATGAAGACTGTCACGAAAGAATGCGAAAGACTTGGACGTAATGTTATGTTGGGCAGCGGCAAAACCATTGCTTGGATCAATTTCCTATCTTTTACAAGTATGCTGAAAGCTATCTTCCTGTGACCGGCACCGCCAGAGCAATCGCAATAAACGAAGTTTGAAAATAAACCAAACCGTAGAAATTAGACACACGAAGAGGGTTCAGTGAAAGGCCACCGCCACCACGATCACGCACTTCCTCCCATTCCATTCCTTTCCTCCCCTCCTCTTTCTGTTCTTTCTTCCTCTTCACCTCCCCCCTCCTCTCACTGAACGTGTCATATAGCGAGGAACGACTGCTCTGCTCCGCCCTGCTGTAGAGATTACAACGAGCGTAGAGAAGAATAGGCCGCCATAATAAAAGTGTAAAAAATAGGTGTATCGCATTTGCTTTCCGTGGCAAGTCTCAATTGTTCCGCCTCTGTATGGTTGTTTCAAAATGCCCACCCGATCGACGCCTCATCACCAATCCGTTGTATCCCTTGAGGTTGCCTTGCCGCTCCCGTGAGCAATTTTTTAAAAGTCGTCATGTAGAAAAAGGGTTGTTTTGTCACAATATTGGTACAAGAAGACAAGTCGATGCTGGAAAATCAATGTGCAACTTTTGTGGTCCTCTCTACCTAGGCCTAGTGACCTGATCCGCGTAAATGAAGCTGGCTAGGCTAGGTCGAATGTGAGAAATTCATTATGTCATTAGGGGCGTACGCCAAGAGATCTGTCGTGGATCCTCGACGGGGTATATCTGATCTCCAACCTGAAAAAATCCGATGATTTAGTCAGATCGCTTACGCTTCTTCTTGCCCTGACCCTCACTAGGCGACTCGTCTGAGGAGAGGTCGCTAGAGCTACCGGGGACTTCGGAGGCGACTTGGAATAGCACCTTCCCAAAGTTGGCGTAGTCGGGCTCGCCAGGCGGCATCAATTCGAGGCCTTCCTCACTCGCGTCGATGAGATTCATAACGATGGCCCCGCTGCCGTGAGTTCGCGCGTGCTGCGATAGATTGTCGCTTCGGGAGAACTTCTTTCCACACTCATGGCACTCGAAAGGCTTCTCTTGCGTGTGTAGAGAGCGATAGTGTCGCTTCAGGTGCTCTTGTCGGCGGAAGCGACGGTTGCAGAGCTCGCAGACGAAAGTCTTGCTGGGATCCTCTGTTAATGATTGCTTGCGACCTCGGCGGTTGGGTGGAGCAGGTAGTGGCGTTTGCGCATTCGACCCCTCGGGTGATCCAACGTTGTTGCTGTCGTCTGCTTCGGTGTGACTGTAGCTGTGGTGATGTTGTTGCTGGTCCTGCTCACCACCCTGAGCAGAGTTGGAGTCGGCAGCAACGTTCATGATGGGCGCAGCCTTTCGCGACTCCTTTTTGCACTTCTTTATCTTCTTGTCTTTGTGAGAATCTGAGTCCGATGAGGTGTAGCTGGAGAACCCAGTCGCGTCACAAGAGGCGGTGTCGTCACCGTCGAAGTCACTCTCACCCAAGAACGACTCGTTACCAAGCGATAAAGTTGTAGAGCAAGTAGCAGAACGTGACCTCTTGATATCAGCACTTGATTGCTCGCCAATATTGCATAGACGATTGACAAAGTCGTCTTCTGATTCAAGGTCATCAATATCCTCAAAGGCAGGTAGACCGTGGTGAAGCTCCTGATTAAAATCGAAGGAGGCAGGGAGGGATTGTTTTGGTAGAGAGTCACCCCTGAATTCCTCTAACGCGACAGGGGCAGAAAACTCGGGCGCCAATGTGGGGTTGGATACACCGCCAACTGTCAAGTTCCGGGGATCACAGAAGGTGGAATCCACGTCTTGCTCTGATGTAACAGATCGTGCGTAAGGCGATGGCGAAGGTGATAATGATGGACAGGACGTTGGTGATAGATGGTCGCTTGAAAAGCTAGAATTAGGTGATTGGACCTGAATCTGATTTGCTGATTGGGTCTGAGCTTGGAGGTAGACTGTACAGAGGGTAGAAAAAAATAAGGTTAGCAACTCCGAATTCCAGGTGTTAAAAAATTAAACTTTTAGATAGTGAAAGATAAGAGCGGTGAATTTCAACCCATGCCCCGCCCATTTTCCAATCCGACTCGCAATTTGTTCTGAAACTTTTGAAACCTTCATGATCATCATATTTCCGCCTTCGATTATTTTTAGAAATCCTTCTCTTCGTTTTCTTCCTTTCAGATTTCTGAGACCAACTCGTATCCAATTCATAAAACGGATTATGTTTAAGAATATTAAATCCGAAATCAATAAATATTAACATACCAGGTGTTAGAGGTGGTGAGCCACAGTTAGCCCAATCCAAGTTCTCGAGGCTTTCAGGTATGGTCTCGACTTCCGGCTTGACCATCTCGCATCCGTCCAATCCAGAGAACATGGGGTTGAGCGGTGTGGCTAACATATCGTTCGAGTTGCATGGACTACCCATGGAGCTACCCGACGTTGACAAGGGAGGCGTGGCCGGATAGTAGAACCCGTCGTTATCGCAAAGCTCCGTCTCGAGCATCAACTTCGAAGGTTGAGTGTGCACTAGAATCCCAGGTCGCTGCGCAGTCTGAGGCGACGCCATCGGAGTTATGTTGCTCGGGACTGTGCTGTACATCTTGTTCGGGAAAGGTTGTTGCGAGCAAGCCGAGTTCGGCCTCGAGTAGATCGGCGTCGACGGCAGTGTAGGTACCACTGGGAATACCTGATGTTGCTGCATCTGTTGAAATCCAGGCTGCTGGCTGAAGTGGCCGTGGTGCCGGTTCTCTGGGTTGGGGTCTGGCGTGTAGTAGAAGAAAGGCGTAGGTCCCATCTGGGAGGCCATCATAGTTGGGTCCATTATCGTTGTCGTTATCGATGTCTTTAACCAATAGCCACCCGTCAGTCTATTGCGGCCAGTGACTCTCTCACTCCGATATATAAACTGACCTAGTTACCGACTTCGGTTACGTTTCTTTCGAACTACCTGGAAGGTTTGTCGTTTCCCTTTCGTTTTATAAATTAAGTATACTAGTAAGTGTACTGTACAATGCGTTGTTATCGTTGTTGTTGGTGGGCGGTTGGCCTAATGATGGTGGTTTCGGTTCCTTGGTTGTCTGAATGAACGAATGTTGGTCTTGATATTGGATCATAAGACCATCTAGCTGCTAGTGACTCGTTGTTGTCTGGTGTTATACATAGACCTGCTCTCGACTTCGTAACTCCCCGAGTATTATCGTCAAGTAACTGGCTGTGGGAGCGGATAGGTACAAGTTTTGTATGGTTAATGAAGGGCAGGAAGTTCGAAGAGATCGAACGATTCCAAAAAGACGAGTCACAAGGAAGAAACAAGAGAACCGATAGGGTTATGAAGAAGAAATAGAACACTCCAAGACGACGGATATGTCGATCACGTACTAGCTAAGAGAGTAATGAACGTGGTTGAAGGGAACCTTGAGAGGATAATGTAAAATAGTTGAAGGCCACCCAGATCAACGACACCAGATAAAAGAAGCCCATCGATAGGCACTGGAAGGCCTGCGGGTGGAATGGGGGACCCATAGAGAGCCCACCCACCCAAGGCGAACAACCTTGTATGTCTCACTTGGGAGAGCTGACAAGGGGGCCATCTTTAGGCCCTGCTCGGCCTGGGTGGTCTGGGTCGACAGGCCACTGGCTAACCTTGTATTCTGCATGTCTGGGGCAAAACGGAAACATGAGATGAGTGGGTTGTGTCGACTGGTACTATGTGGGCGCAGCCACCGAGCGATTCTAAATCTGGATAACACTCTGGACGAGGACGAGAGGGACGAGGTACCGCGTATTGATGGGTACTTTGTCTCTTTTTTTCGACGGACAGAAGAACCCTTGTCCGACTGGTCGTGTACCTACCGCATAGCGCATACCTCTAAACTCCGTTGGTTTATACGCACGCGCAAGCATACGACACCTTGCATATCGCCTAGCATAGTCCATATACGATACGGGCTCTCATGCAGAACCGAGTACATAACGAGGGTACATTAGCAGATATGCATTTTCAACAGCTACTTACTGGGTATGTAGGTATGTACAGCGTAGTAGGCCAGGATGCAGGATGTTCGTTCTTCTATCTATTACAGCGTATCTACCTACATACGTATCTACATACTATTAGGTACATATCTCGACTTTGTGGATGAACTGACAACTAATTATTTCGGTTGAAAGGTTATCAGTCGTACAAGAGTTCGTCATTATCCGGGCTGCCAGGTCTCCTCCCACGTGCCTGGTCACCTGTAGATTGGTCAAACGGACTGCCTTGATGGCATGTATATGCGGTGCATGAGAAGAGATTTGATAGCAGGATAATAGTAGGTACCTACCTAGCTACCTAGGTATGTACTTTATGCATAACTCTCCAGTACTGCACTTAAAAACGAACAGATGAGTTAAAAAACGATGGCTATCATACATAGTACAGCGATTAATACAGGTAGTACCTCGGCAGGTTTTTCCATAAATTCCTTTATAGGAATTGATTGTCGCGCATGGTACAAATGGTACTCTGCACAAATTTTCAGGATTTTCTTGGATGGTTGGAACATGCATACCTACGTCGTATGTACGATACATGAGTCGGCAGCTGTGATAGGTGGGTTTGACCGCTGGACCACAGGAGGAAGCGAGCCACACAATTTGCATAATTCGTCCATTTTTTGCTAAAGCTCTCGCCGTAGCAGGTGGTGGTGGTGGTTGTGTTCGGCTGCAACATTGCACAGCCAGTCGCTGAAGGCCGTCCATCCAGCCTTCGCGCGACGCGGAGTACTCTGCGCCAGCCCATGGTGCTATCCAGTAGAACAGCGTGATGGAATGCAGGTACGGGCGACCAGGCGTCGCGCTGTGGATCACGTTCGTCATTCAGCGCCTCTTTCACGAGAAATACTTTGCGCGTATCCTGAGTTCCGGATAGGCTTCTGGGATGTCGATTGGTTTGCGGGGAACTTGGTATCCAGCATATCGGATGCCTCATGTGCTCTGCTACGTACTCTACCATACTCCATACTCCATACTAAGTAGCTATACCATATACTTTGCTTGATGGAGATCCGGATATGAGAACTCACGTTGTCTTGGCTGCTTGAGAGGCAGTGAAGGAAGCAACTCGCAAGTGCTAAAAGAATAGCCAGAGAGCAAACCACGGCGCGGACCATCTCACCGTATTCATCTAATATGATAATGACGTTGGCCACCTGGATCCCTCTCGACAACATGATCATTCTGCGTTCTAGGCTTTGCTAAGAGGACCCAAGATTGGTACAGTGGAAGGGCTTCCCTTTCCGTACTTGGCCTTGAGAAAAATACAAACTGCCGATGATTGGATCACATTAATAGGCTGTGAACTAGTGGATGAAGACTTCATTTAAGTGAAGTAAACGGCATGTTGTCAGCATGCAGTAAGAGGCAGCCTGCCATTGCTTGCCATTGCCTGGCTATTGCCTACCTACTACTACCGTATGCCCAATACAACGGTATCGATATCGTATTGGATATAATGTATGTAGGTAGGGACAGTACCTAGTCTGCTAGTATGTATGCGCATCAACTGATGGTGCGTGAAGTGAGAAAGATAGTTCCAGTAAATGAAGGCCAATGATGTGTGTGTTTTGCCTAAGCTGACCTCGCATTGGCAGATTGACCACAGATTAGCTTGTGATGAAGTAGATTTTCACAATTTACCTGTTAAAACCGGTTGCATCGATTTGAATTGGAAACATAGGATCGGCCTTAGGCATCGTGTGAGTGGACAAAATCCTCCCAAGACGCGCGCGTTCCTGATATGCAAGCACTATATTATCAAGTCGCTCTTAAAATGCAACCCATTCATCCAGAAGTCTAATCGAATCATGATGGATTCTGTTTATGGCACACGCGCTTCAGATTTCTATTTGGTCTTATCACACGAAAAGGTGAGAGAGGGTTGGCTGATTAAAGGCGTAGGCTTATCCTCACGTTGAATTTACTTCCCGATCTGTACTATCACAGCGGTTTAGCAGCTGAATTCGCCGTAATGACCGTACTGGCCGCACATTCTGTTACAGTTGAAGAGATTGCACCCCGCATCACCTGTACCGTAAGATGTGATTGACAACCCGATGGGTTCGCCCCTCGCACCAAGACAATGGAAGCAATTTTCGAAACGACCTCACTTACTAATTCGTAAGATACTTAATAACTATAAGATTAAATCTCAATAAAAATAAACATAGCCATCGTGACGGACCATACGAGAAGAGATGTGATAAGTGATGATATTTTAGGATGATTTTAGCATGATTTGGAGTTACCAGCCCTTACCTATCTGTACTTATTTGTAGGTTGGTAGGTACTTACTAGGTAGAGTAAAAGAGAAAAAGGTGGAAAAATTAAGCTTCTTTTTCACTTGCAGAAAAAAAGCAATATCGACTATCTGATCGTCGTTAATCGTTTGATCGTTCTTACTTGACTCGTCATCTATCCCGTCATGGGGGTGGAAGGAAAGAACACTTTTTTCGGTATTTTTTTTATTTTTATTTTGTTCTTTTCGTGCCTGCCAACTTCGGAACTTTCCAGCGCATTCATTGGATCCGAAAGCCGTATCTCCCTCTCTTGCACCTTCCACACACGGCTCGGAATGCCGGGGGAAAGAGGGTTCAATTGTCTTTCTTCTTTTAAGCCTCTTCCGTAAATGATTCGTATGTCACGGCTTAAACATGCACGTGTACACCATAATTACACCCATACCATACATAGTAGTTCATACGATCTATGAATATCGTTCATCTCCGCCAGTTTGCTAGAGCACGCCATCTCCGATACCAATATCAACACCAACACTAATACGCAAGATCGCCACTCTTGTTTGTTAGTTGATATCACTCTCCTCCACTATAAGGCATATCCAAGTATATCAGGCATATCAGGCACATCAGGCATGATCAAGGCCGTCGCTCAAACCCGAACGGTGCTGCGGTAGCTGCTGCTGCCAGGTCAACTGCAGAGTCCGACCGCCTCGACCGTGTTCCTAGCGTGCTCTGGCAGTCTGGAAGCGGCATTACATACAGCATTGGTGATACGCTCGCCTATCGCGCCACCGCTCTCTGCCCTTCTCCAACCGGTCTTGGTGTTGATGGGCATTGAGGATTCAATGGTTTCAATGGGGCTATGCTTTGGCGCACAAACCTGCATTACATAGTATTGTGCATTCTGTTATCGTCTAAACACTATTTGGGTATCATCAGGGCGCTCATCGGCGCTCATCACTTGTTTCATTATTTTACCGTGCATACTAGTACAATTGCCAATGCACTAGCATTGCATTAACATATTGTACGCGTAGACATACTCACATTTGTACACTATGTACATGCATAACACTGACCCATCCTGCCATCTCCTCAGTACTAAACTCTACGAATGCTACTAATTAAGCGGTGGACCGGTCTTCTATCGGATCAGAACCCCAAATCAGGAAGCTTATCATGGGCTAGGTAGGGCCAGGCGATCATTCCACCGCCAAAAGTGCCTAGACGAACTTACTGAGAGTTCCGACTTGCTAGGTACCTTAACGTACCCATAACTGGTTCCGTGGAAGCCTTCCGGCTCGACAGGACCCCCAGCGAAAGACCTTCTAGCTAATTTGCCTCCCATTATGCGGCCTGCTACCCGGCTCCCACAGTGCTGGAAACCAAGATACGTCAGGGTAGCCTGCTGATGAAGCCCAGAAATGGACGAAGTACTGCTCGTTGGAAAGTACATGCAGTCCTCTCCACACCAATCGCCTTCTTTCGGCCAATTCATCGACCTGTACCTTGCATGTCAATTTTGTGCCTGCAGCATTCGTCCTGCAGGAACAATGCAGAACCGGCACATTCTTACTATTCGCAGTTAGCCATGGTAAGTCGGTATGCAAGCAGGTTAATGATCCGGGGCTTAAATACTTAAATACTTACATACATGCTATCTATCTAGTATCTACATCTGATAGATAATGATGAAGATGAAGATGCGGGAAAAAAAGAAACAACTCCAAAGTATGTAGTACTCGACGACGAATCTGTTACCAAACTCGACAGCGATGCAGGATAAAATGCAATAATATGCGGACTACTACCCTTAGGATTAGTATCTCTAGGTAGGTACTCTGTATTGTGCGGT